TTTTTTTTAGGTTCAGTTTATTTACTGTTAAAAGGAAGGCAAACTCCACTAGTAAAGAGTGAAAAAAAACGTCACAAAAAGCGTGATCGATTTTTGATAATGCATATTGCCAGTCTCTTAAATTTTAGAATACTGTTGTTTTGATATCTACTCAGCAATTCGAAAGTTGCAGAGTTGAGAAGTTTTTATTTAAAAAAAATACTTCTTCTATTTCTTTGCATTTATTTACTCTTTTACAACTGTCTGTTGGCTATGTTTTACTTTGCAAAGACTTATGTTATCAGTTTTGCCTAATTCACTAATTTTTCACATAATTTTTAAATCACATCACGCACAAATACGAGACTAGTTTGAATAACAGAGAAAAACCGTTTTAGTTTTTATGAATGTGATCGGAAGATTGTAGTACTTGTACAGCCACCTTGCTTCAACATGTAATCGGAGTGCAGCTTCGCCTCTCTGTAAAATAAGTCATCGGTCTACCTAAGTGTGACGTTATCTCGGCACCTAATTTTTTCAATCGAAATTGGATACCGCTATATAGCTTATCAGTTGAAAATGAAAATTTTACAAAAATGAGTTAACAAAATGATTTACAAAAATGAAAACAAATTACGGTTAACTACAAAGTAAAAAGTTGAATTGAAAACACCATAGAAAACTTCCGTCGAGCAGGTTGAGGTTTTCATTGGTTTTTTCATGACAAGTAATTTGATTAAATTACAAAGTCAATGTTTTCCGGTGTTTAAAACTAGTATATTCCAGTTCAGATTGGTTTGTGCAGTGCAGATTGGTTTGTGTTTAAGAGTCAAGTCAATGAACGTAAGTTAAGACTCTTGTAAAAATCATGACGGTTTTTCATACTGTTAGAAGGAAGGCAAACTATCGAATAGCAAAAGATTAAATTTCACGAAAAATGTAGTCGACTTCTAGATTCGAAAGTTGATTTTAATTTTCAGATATCCCAGCGGAATTTTTTTTTACCGTTTGATCCAGTTTTCTCAAATTGGGCAAATTTTATGAAAAAGGACAAGAAAGTAGCAAAAAATATAACGAGCTTAAATGTTATATATTTTTTCTCCGACGTCCGAAAGTTGAAAAAAGCTTTGTCCCGCTTTTTGCATGCACATTGAATGGAAAGAAACGCTATAGCTTTCTTGTTTGTTAAAATTTTAATTTTTGTTGTTTTCCTGATGCTGTTTCAGGTATAAAAACGAGTCTGAAGAAAAAATGGATAATAAGTATTTTAAACCCGTTTCCCTGATTTTTAAGAGTAAGATTAGATGGACGTAATTCAGAATCTTGTGTAGGGTCGAGATGATGTTTTTTTAAAAGGAACAGTCTGACAGTTGATTCAGGTTCAAACTTACTTTTAGCGCTTTTACTTTTTTTAGGTTCAGTTTATTTACTGTTAAAAGGAAGGCAAACTCCACTAGCAAAGAGTGAAAGTAAACGTCACAAAAAACGTGATCGATTTTTAATAATGCATATTGCCAGTCTCTTAAATTTTAGAATATTGTTGTTTTGATATCTACTCAGCAATTCGAAAGTTGCAGAGTTAAGAAGTTTTTATTTTAAAAAAATACTTTTTCTATTTCTTTGCATTTATTTACTTTCTTACAACTGTCTGTTGGCTATGTTTTAATTTGCAAAGACTTATGTTATGTGTTTTGCCTAATTCACTAATTTTTCACGTAATTTTTTAATCACATCACGCGCAAATACGAGACTAGTTTGAAGAAGTGAAAAACCGTTTTAGTTTTTATGAATGTGATCGGAAGATTGTACTACTTGTACAGCAACCTTGCTTCAACATGTATTCGGACTGCAGCTTCGCCTCTCTGTAAAATAAGTCACCGGTCTGCCTGAGTGTGACCTTATCTCGGCACCTAATTTTTTCAATCGAAATTGGATACCGCTTACTATATAGCTAATCAGAAAGTTGATTCAGGTTTAAACTTACTTTTCGCGCTTTTACTTTTTTTAGGTTCAGTTTATTTACTGTTAAAAAGAAGGCAAACTCCACTAGCAACGAGTGAAAGTAAAAGTCACAAAAAACGTGATCGATTTTTAATAATGCATATTGCCAGTCTCTTAAATTTTAGAATATTGTTGTTTTGATATCTACTCAGCAATTCGAAAGTTGCAGAGTTAAGAAGTTTTTATTTTAAAAAAATACTTTTACTAATTCTTTGCATTTATTTACTTTCTTACAAATGTCTGTTGGCTATGTTTTAATTTGCAAAGACTTATGTTATGTGTTTTGCCTAATTCACTAATTTTTCACATAATTTTTTAATCACATCACGCGCAAATACGAGACTAGTTTGAAGAAGAGAAAACCGTTTTAGTTTTTATGAATGTGATCGGAAGATTGTACTACTTGTACAGCAACCTTGCTTCAACATGTATTCGGAGTGCAGCTTCGCCTCTCTGTAAAATAAGTCACCGGTCTACCTAAGTGTGACCTTATCTCGGCACCTAATTTTTTCAATCGAAATTGGATACCGCTTACTATATAGCTAATCAGTTTAAAATGAAAGTTTTACAAAAATGAGTTTACAAAATGATTTACAAAATTTTACGGTTAACTACAAAGTACAAAGTTGAATTGAAAAGACGAAGACGTGGCAATTTATGGAAAACTTCCGTCGAGCAGGTTGAGGTTTTCATTAGTTTTTAATGAGAAGTAACTTAATTAAATTACAAAGTCACTATTTTCCGGTGTTTAAAACTAGTATATTCCAGTTCAGATTGGTTTGTGCAGTGCAGATTGGTTTGTGTTTTAGAGTCAAGTCAATGAACGTAAGTTAAGACTCTTGTAAAAATCATGACGGTTTTTCATACTGTTAGAAGGAAGGCAAACTATCGAACAGCAAAAGATTAAATTTCACGAAAAATGTAGTCGACTTCTAGATTCGAAATTTGATTTTAATTTTCAGATATCCCAGCGGAATTATTTTTTTACCGTTTGATCCAGTTTTCTCAAATTGGGCAAAATTTATGAAAAAAATATAACGAGCTTAAATGTTATATATTTTTTCTCCGACGTTCGAAAGTTGAAAAAAGCTTTGTCCCGCCTTTTGCATGCACATTGAATGGAAAGAAACGCTATAGCTTTCTTGTTTGTTAAAATTTTAACTTTTGTTGTTTTCCTGATGCTGTTTTAGGTATAAAAACGAGTCTGAAGAAAAAATGGATAATAAGCATTTTAAACCCGTTTCCCTGATTTTTAAGAGTAAGAGTAGATGGACGTAATTCAGAATCTTGTGTAGGGTCGCGATGATGTTTTTTTTAAAAGGAACAGTCTGAAAGTTGATTCAGGTTCAAACTTACTTTTCGCGCTTTTACTTTTTTTAGGTTCAGTTTATTTACTGTTAAAAGGAAGGCAAACTCCACTAGCAAAGAGTGAAAGTAAACGTCACGGAAATGTGATCGATTTTTAATAATGCATATTGTCAGTCTCTTAAGTTTTAGAACATTGTTGTTTTGATATCTACTCAGCAATTCGAAAGTTGCAGAGTTAAGAAGTTTTTATTAAATAAAAATACGTCTTCTATTTCTTTGCCTTTATTTACTCTTTTACAACTGTCTGTTGGCTATGTTTTACTTTGCAAAGACTTATGTTATCGGTTTTGCCTAATTCACTAATTTTTCACATCATGAAAAAGGTCAAGAAAGTTGCAAAAAATATAATGAGCTTAAGTGTTATATATTTGTTTTCCGACGTTCGAAAGTTGAAAAAAGTTTTGTCCCGCCTTTTGCATGCACATTGAATGAAAAGAAAAGCTATAGCCTGCTCGTTTGTTAAAATTTTAATTTTTGTTTTTTTTCCTGATGCTGTTTTAGGTATAAAAACGAGTCTGACGAAAAAATGGATAATAAGTGTTTTAAACCCGTTTCCCTGATTTTAAAAATTAGTTGACAGCCTTTATTTTGCTGCTAGTTCTTAATTCTTTTATCTGAATTCTTAAATTTTATCTGAATTGATTCAATCAACAGCGATTTATCTGTAGTCAGTGCGTAACCGAATTACACATTAAAGTATATAAAAGCTTAAACAGAAAAATATTGAAATGAAACTTTGAGACTATGAGTTAAAATGAACCTTATCCGCATAGACAATTTCTGTGATCGAAATATTTTTTGTACGTATTCATATGAACATTTCTATCAGTCTAGTTGTCTCTGCGGATAAGGGTTTTCTTATTAACTCGTGGTCTCAAACTAAAAAAAGTAACAAAAACTTCAGTTATTTTGATTTTTATCCCTAAATTAATCAATGATTATTTTAAGGGATAATTAAATTTTCTTCATTTTGGATGGTTTTTTTTTTCGTAATATACCATTTGAAAGAAATAATCGTAATGAAAAATTGTTTTTAATAATCGTAATTTTGAGCTCATTACAACGTTATTTTCAGATGGTAGAAAAAATCACCCCAAGCAAAAATAGTCAAGTCCGTCACTTTATTTTAAAATCGGAACAGTTAATTTTTCTGAATACACTTAAAAATATTTCGATACAATTTTTGATTCTAGAAATTGAATGTGCCTTTTTTTATTGTTCTGAGCCTTTTTTCCAGATTTTAACAAGAAATCATATAACCCATTGTATTCTCAAAAAACCATCAAAATTTGTTTACATTAATAAAGTTTCAGATATGAAAGTTTTCTCATGCAAAGCTGAATTATCCAAATTTAGATTTAATTTCAATCAGTACAGTTTGAGTACAGTTTTCAATCAGTAAAAATTTTTTTGAGTAATTTCAATCAGTACAGTTTTCTTGTGTTTAATTCATGAACTTCATTCAAATAAAATTAGATTGTTTATTTGAGTGACTTCACTGTTTAGAACACAAATATGTGATGAACAGCAAGCTTTCTTGCAGAGATAGATGCATGCTTATATTCTGCTATGACAATTCGGAAATAACAAAAAGCTAACATACTATAGTGAAGATTTTGAGGGTAAAATTTGCTCGAATTCTCTTGTTTCAGTGTGAGTCAAAAACGAGTGCCTCTCAGAGACGCATCATCGTTTGTATTCACGCTCACGGACAAAGAAAGTGGCGTGATCAGATATGGCATATGTTTGAATTTCTTCCGACCTTTTGACCGGAAGTACGTTGCAGAGGCAAAGAGCAGAGCGAACAAACCGGCTGACTCTGTGGCCGAAAACCGAAACTTCGACCAGGAGGGTTTCAACAGAGGAAGACAGCCGGATACAATAAGTCAGTGTAGCACAGATAGCGATAATCTAAGCTGGAATGGAAGTGTAGAAGGATCCCAGACTGGCCACAGAGGCTCAGTAGGCAGGGTGAAAAAATGGAAACAGAGGAACAACACTCTGACGTCATTGTGTCTGATTAGTCACCACCCGTTCTTTTCTACATTCAGAGAATGCTTGTTTCAATTGAGGAAGCTCATCCATGCGTGCAATGAGAGATCCTGCAGCAGACGAGTGGGTGGATCGAAAAGTGTTTTGCGGTTAGTTCATACATTAGCTCGGTTATAAATGAGGTCTGCGTCATAATTAAGATCAAGACACAACTTGAACAAGGATAGCCGGTTACTGTGCAAGTATCACAGTTCTGACCATAGTCTTCAAAAAATTACGATTTTTTTTTTCAAATTATTGTCGTTTTTTTCTGCTTAGTATGATGAGGATCTGAACGAAAAGATAGAATTTAGGCATATTCGACAGTCATAGTAAAAAAGGCAAGTTGGAAAACAATTTCTGTAAAAAAAGTGACTAGAACAACATAAAAAGAATCATAAAAAAATTTGAAGAAATTTTCAAATTTTTTTCGAAGCTTTTTGAAGTTTTTGATTCCTAAAATGGAGCTCAAAACTCCAAAATCGAAATTTACTCGAGTGAAATTAAATTTTCAGGACTAATAAACTAATGTAAGCCTGCTCGCTCGCTTTACTTGCTCGAAAATAGGACGAAAAATCAAAAATTTCTAACCGGTTTTTCTCGACTCTGGGAACACTTTTTGGTAGTTTTCAATGTCGTTCGGATCACGACTGAAACGGCTTTATTATTATATATCATTCTAACCAGTCCAATGATTTTTTGTGGTACCTGATTTTTTGTGGAAAACAAAAAAAAAGAAAAAAACTAAAACACTCGAATACAAAGTTCTTTCCCATTTTTAGTAGCCGGAACAATAAATTATCAGGAAATGCATGAATATAATCTTTCAAAAGGCTAGAAAATTTTTGCAATTACAACTACATTAGTGATCGGTTGGCCAGGGTGCCAAACGGGATTTTTTTTTCAAATTTGTAAATGAACGAAGTGATTTTCACCGACTTTTCGCTTATATAGGTTGCGATGATTTGTTTTTTTTTTAGGAAAAGTCTTATAACTTGATCACGCTCGAATTTGATTTTTACGCGGTTTGGCTTTTGATTTCTTTTCAAGCTCAGTTCATTTCCTTTGTTATGAAGAAAGCAAGCTGCTATCGAACAACAAAAGTGTGAAGGTCACGAGTAGAAATTTTACACATTAGTCCCATCGGAATAAAAAGTTAACGGCTGTATGAAAGTTAATTGTGCTGTGTTTGGTTTAAAATATTTTTGTTGTCCATTGGGTTCTTTTTCCATTTGTTGGTTCATTAAAAAACTTTTTAACTTGAAATTGTTTAGCGTCAATTATTGCAGTGAAGACCCATGATTTTTTTTCAAGGTTCTATTCAATTAATTTTTTTTAAAGTTAAATGAAGATAGGCTTCACTGTCGAACAGGAAAAGGATTGAAAGAGCTTCAACGTGATATGTGATATCATTTTAATTTGAGTTTCAACATTTGGAAATATCTCAATCCGCTTTTTCGGTTTCCTTGTTCTTCTACACTTTCCCAACTGTCAGTTGGCTATGTTCTAGACTTACCAGCAGATTAAAGATTTACTTATTAATTTTCTCTGATCAAATTGGGTTAGTTTTTACGAAAAATAGGACAGAAATAAAAATTTCATATTCAAAGAGCTATAAGCGGAAATATAAAAATCTCGAAAGTGCTCTCATTTAAATTTTTTCAACTGTCTAGTGGTATGGTCATTCACTTTTTGGCTTATTTCGAATTTTTCCGAAAGCTCATTCTTATTGACTGTCATTTGAAATTTAAGATTTTAGCATTTTTTTGTCTATATATATGAATTTTAATTCCCTTATTTTCCTTTTGTTCTTTTCCTTGAGTGTTTTTTGCTCTCGTTCTTCGTGGTTCATATGTTTTATCCGGTTTCTAAGTGTTTGCTCAATCTTAGCTTGTGTTATATTATGATTTTTCTTTTTTTTTCCAATTAAGTCGCAAATATTATTGCGATACAATTGTTTGCCACAAAATGTGTTCATTTTGAAAGTGTTCATTTTGATCCAGTTATTAAGTACAGCCAATGCTAAGGATATTAACACAGACTATTATTTTACAAATAGCTCTTTAGCTTCAAGGTTTCGTGGTTTTTTAGCGTAGAGGTAGGGAAGGAGACCAGCAGCAAAATAAGGGGGTTCGAACCTCGGCAGGGTCGGACGTTTTTAATGAACTTTTTCGTATATTAGTTAAAATTCGTCCGCTCTATAAATTGAGGCATGTTAACTGATAATTTTTTTTTCAAATTGACTTGTACTGCTAATGCGCCATAATTGGCTTGCGTCTCTTAGCAATTATGTAGACTCATAATTGGCGTGCGTCACTTAAGAAATTTTGTAGACTCAAAGTTTTACTCATTCAGTTTTTCCCAGTAGCGTGTTCGGTCATGTTTTTGCTTGTGCATGCGAAGTGCAATTCGCCTGTGTTGAAAATAATGCACAAGAGGCTAATAAACTTGAAAGAATATAATTGGGCCGATTTGGAAAGGTTTTTATGGGAAACGTTTCTGGTTTATTTTTTTTTGCAAATTTAACGCTGTCTGAAAGTATTAGTTTTGAGATTTTTCCAGAAATGGTCTCCGCATTTGCGGCAGTTTAAACGATGACGAAGTGTCTTTTTTTAGATAATGACAGTGTTCGTTATCGGTTTTCATTTTTTTTTTCGATTCAACTGCCTAGTTTCTTTAAATAATTTTGAACAATTTCTTTAAATAATTTTGAACAGTTTCATTAAATAATTTTGAACAATTTCTACACCAGCAAACTTTTGGGTAATATTACGAGCTTTTTGCTAACCTAAGTGGCGCGTGTTTCTGTGTCCAGCTTAAATCTTATCATTCTTTGAGTGTCATCGTTTTTTACAATTTTTCTGATAAAAAACTTAACCAACTTGGAGATTTTAGATGGCACAGAGAAATTAGTTAACCAAGTTTGGTATCACAAGCCCTTTTATCCGTAATTCGGACTGCAAAATAAAGTTTTATTGGAGAGAAAAAATGGGCTGCGATTTCTTATGATTTTCTATTAATTTTGGGAGTTCGAAAAAAATAACTGCATTATCCTTCCCGTTAGATCAGAAACACAGGAAAGTGTAGATGCGTTTGATTCGATTTTTTAATGATTTTCTGTTTACTTTTTGTTTCGCCTCTTCTTCATCAGAAAATAGAAAAATAATCCTCAATAAAATTAGGAAACGAAAGTTTTAGTCTTATTTAAGTATTTTTTTTACTGTTACGCGAGTTCACATGCTGGCTACGTATCCATGGTCGCAGAGCTGGTACCAATTCTTTTAGATCAGGTGCTTTCTGCAAACTAGCTTGAGACTTTTTCTAGAATAATTTGAATGCAATCAGCTAATATATAATCAAGGGGACTGGACATTTTCAGGAAGGAAGCTGTGTACAAGCATTTTTGTGCAATTTAACGAAAATTAGTTTTCGGCAGTTTTTCGAAAAGAAATTATGGGCCGCTGGTACATCATTGACGAAACTAGCTGAACACTAATATTTTTTAGTTGAAATCATTTTCCCAAGGTGCCTTTAAAAATAGTTTTGTTTAAAAATGTTTTGTTGACAGAAGAGAACAGGTCTGGTGTTAATAGTACCAAGAGGAAGGAGAGAGATTAAATCCTTAAGGAGATGGCGTACATGCTTGTATTTTACGTTGATATCTGATCTGCTGATTAAGTTATATATAGAACATAAAAAGTATTGTTGTGAAAATTAATTGCTTTCAATTTTGTTGCTGGCTCCACAGTATAGTTATGCTGTTATGAAGCACGTCAGATGTTCTGTGCTTCAAAGCACTTAACTTAACCCATTTTAGGGGTGTGCTCGAATAGCAATCGCATTTTTGGTCTTCTTTAATCATATCGTATTTGTATATCAGCCTCTGCATGTTTTCACGGTACTCCGGCAAGCAGCCTTGACATATGGGGATATAACTCAGTGTCGTTTTCTTCCTAAAATCAAACTCAATTTTCGTTTTGGGTGCGATGGGAACTCAATTTTTTCAATTACTATTTTTCATCCTATGAAGAAAAACGGAACCGACATAGGATGGCGGAATTTAAAAATAATAATTTGCTTACTGTTTTCTAGATTAGGTTGACCTGATTGACCTTCTGGGGTGGAACCAACCGCTGTAAAGATTATATTTTGCCACCAGTCGCTAGGCGCTTTTTAGCAAAAATCTAGGGCCGTTGGCCGAAAATGGATGTAAATTATTACAAAATGATGTCAATTTCTACGGGCCTTGCGGTCTTGTCGAAAGCGCAGTGACTCTAGTTCTAACCTGCGGGTGTTTATAATCTGGTGACACGCAACGTCCCTCTCTTTTCGTGGACAGGAAGATCGTTTTGCATATTTTACCCTCCTGGCATTTACACTGTATCTTGGAGAACCTCGCACTTGAGAATCCAGCCGGAAATGTTCGACAGATATTCGTCTGACACTGAAAAAAAACGTTTTTTACTTTTTGAATCGAGTGTTTGAATGATATTGAAGAAACATTTTTTACTGTCTTAATTAATATCGGTTTTGTAAATTCGCTAAGCTAGCTAGAGTGCATGGGATTTTAGAACAAGCATGGTAACGCATGTTCAACTAAAATCCACATTTTCCTTGGAATCCACCGAGCGGTTCGCCAACCAAAAGCCGTAATTAACGTTTTATTTGTTGCCTGCGGATTTTATCGCTAGCAACTTAATTTAACTTCAATCGTTTTCGAAGTTGTGAAGATTCCAGCACAAGTCTTGCGACAATGAAATTGTCTCTAGACTTCTTGGTGAAACCATATCAACCAAGCGTGGCGTTTTATTGGAGTTAAAGTGTATCTATCCGAGTCATAATATGCCAAAATAAAAAATTCATTTAAAAAAAAAGAAATTGGCCATTTTGCTGTGATGTCTTAGGTATATTGAAGGTGGTAAAATAAGTCTCAGAATTGATTAAACTCACTGTTCCATTGTACAACTGTCTACTGTGTGACTCATAGTTTGTACTGGGGACGTGACTATTCAACTGCTGCTGCCACAACGCCATTCTCTGTTTGTACAAGTCAGCCCAGCTGAAGTAGGGTGGCCTCAACAGATGACTGCTTCTGTAGTTGACCCCTGGTGAACCCAAATAATGGTAGGGTCGAATGGACTGTCGAGGGTAGTAACTCTGATGCTTGTTGGTACGAGTTAATTGGCCGTGAGTTACAACCGAACTCAGAACTAATAGGACCAGAAAAAGTGTTGCAATTTTACATATTTTTGAGACAAGTAATAATTTATAAGGTTTCGAGTCACATATGTACTGTATAGGTTGCGTGGCACGACACATAGCATACTTCATCAGAGAGAATTGAATTATAAGTGCTTTATTGTTCTGTTGAAATCCAATCAACCGCTTCGGGAACTGAAATGAATTTGTATGTATTGATTGATTTGGGCTTATTGTTCGCCTTTTTTTCGCTCTGTAGTTTCGATAAATCAATTAGAACACGTTAATTTGCGATAAATAAGATCTTGCTCAGGCCTAATTTACTGGTGAATGAAGTTACGTGTTGGTGTTGTGCTAAGTTTGCTGTAGACGCGCGCAATCTTGGTGACGCTTTCTGATCTTATTGACAAGAGCTGGCAAATTTAGCCTCTGGTCATCAAAAGTAGTGAAGATGAAGTTTAAAAAAAGGATTTGACAACTGGTATATTTATGATGGTCTTGCGAAGCCGAAAATAGCAACTACAAAGTGTTTCTACTTTAGTCTACCCCTTAACTGATTCCCTTCAGTGTGAACCAGAGTTTTCGCCCTGGGAGCCATCAGCTAGATCCGGACTATAAATATCCCGTCGCTCGTTAAAGGCCAAATCTAACAAAAAGATCAAAAATGAACGGCGGGAATCAATTGGAAGCGATGAGCCTATTGAGTTAACATCCTTCCTTCCTAGAGCATTTGCCTTTTGTGTGTCACGTTCCTGTTAAATCCACAGGGAGCTAAGAGGCTGCGACGATCTTAAGTATTTAACGGTTGCGCAACGCTATCAAGTGAATTACCAAAAATGTCAACAAGCCACGTGGTCCAAGGCAGCTCGGCGTAGGGTTTTGCGTCATTGCTTAAATGGCTTTGCCGCTGTTTATATCCGACATGTTGGCATAGACTCCGGAACCACTCTTAAGTGTTTTGAGTCTGTTCGGACCATGTGAAGTCGCAATACATTTCCTTGTGCTAAGCGTGTCTGACGTCAGTTGTAATTATGTTATTAACCTGAGAAGAGCCATTGAAGTTCAAATTTAATTTGTGAAAGTGCATCGGCTGGCAAGTTAGAATCGTTGATCATAACCACTTCTTTTCTACCCGAATAATCGTATTTCTTAGAACTTTGTCTGAATTGTGCGAGGATGAAAATTAAGTTTTCATGCAGCGACAATGAGCAAGGGAAAAAATCGGCTTAGCTGCAAAGTTTGGCAATTTAATTTCTTCTGGCTATAATTCAGGCTGCTCATTATGCAGTCTTTCAAATGTAAATATCATTTTTAAGAGTAAGTGTCGTAAAATTGGTAACCAAGCAGTTTTTCAAAAATATAAATCACTTGTAAGAGCAAGTGTCTTAAAATTTGGAACAATGCAGTTTTTCAAAAATAATATCATTTGGAAGAACAACTCTTAAAATCGGGGACAATGCTTTTTTCAAAAATAAATATCAATTCTAGGAGCAAGTGTCTTAAAATCGGGTAAACTTTTTTACCTATGAGGTCAGTTGTTCGAATCTTGTTGCCTCCGAAGTTTTTGTCTGTTTTCTTTCAAGGCTTGCGGTAGTTGCAGGTGCGCAGTTGGGTGCATTGTAAAATAGATCGAGTCCCGACCGGTTCTCAGCCAAATATCCCGTTTAGATTTTTCTGGCTCAATTCGAGTCTGCTATTTTGATTTTTCGCGGTTTGACTCTTGATTTCTTTTTAAGCTCAGTTCATTTTTTGTTCAAAGGAAGGCAAACTCGACTATCGAAGAGCGAAGTTTAAAAGGTCACCAAAAACGTGATTGACTTTTACTTTCGAAAATGGAATAAAAATTTACCCGCGATTTCTCAGCGAAATAAAAATTTACCTAATGATCCAGTTTTCTCAAGTAAAGTTAATTTTATTGGAAAAATGCCAGTCATCAATCGCTCTAGAATACATAGAGCTTTTAATGCATCTATTTTTATTTCTTTGAAATACGAAAGTTGAGATTTTTAAAAATAAAAAGTCAGTTTTTAATTGCGTTCATAGACTCTTTTCAAACTGTCTGTTGGCTATGTTTATTATTCGTAATTAAGGTTTTTCCGAGTAACTCGTTTTGTCTGAACTTCAGTCTGCTCAATTATCAATCCATTTTGTTACGTGCCCAATATAGGATGGTTTCAGAGGTAATTAGGGAATTGCGTGCAGAGGTATAAATATTTCAATTATTTTTGTCAGTGCTTCTTTGACGTATCAATTTTTGTCAATTTTGCTTTTAGTTTTGTAGCATATCAATACTCAGTGGTTTTTGTTCCGCTGAGTGTATGCTACAAAACTAAAAACAAAATTGACAAAAATTGACCATTGAAAATGGAGAGGAACTTTGTATTTGGCTGTGTTTTAGTTTTATTGTTCTGACCATTTGATAAATAAGGAGGAAGTTTGTATTCGGATGTGTTAGTTTTTATTGTTCCGACCGTTTGAGAAACGGGAGGAACTTAGTATTCTTGTGTGTTTTAGTTTTTTTCCACTCAAAATCAGGAACCACAAATAATCTTTGGAATGGGTTGAGTGATATATCATATAAATGTCCTTTCAGTCCTGATTTGAACGACATAAACTTCGAGTGAAACTTCGAATATGGTCGGAACATCGTTCTGTGCGACGTGCACAGCAACCGGCTATCCTTGTTGTTCCGACTTTCGAAACGAAAGTAACGGAATATTTGTGCTCGGGGTGGGTTTTTTTTTTCTTCAGACAAATTTCGACTTTTTAACTAGCCATTTTTGACGGATTTTTTTTTCATATCATTCTAAAGGTATTGTTGCCCTGAGCTTAAATTTGAAAAGAAATTTCACCTGTGATCATTTTTCGCAGAGTTATGAGGGTTTAAAGATTGCCATTTTGACCAATTTGGGACAATTAACGCGCGATATAATTCGCGCTATTAACGCGTAAGCGGAGGTTTAATCCGTCTTATAAATCGTTCCAAATTGGTTGAACGAAGCTTAATTGCCATAATTGATTTGTTAAAAGGAACGAAATCTCTCATTTTGTACTTTATATGGCGTGTGGGGGATGATTTTCATAAAAAATTTCAAATTTTAGATAAAAAATTTTCATTTTATTTTATTTCATTTAATTTTTTTATGCTATTACTGCTGCTCCATAAACCTTAAAAGGCAGTCGGAACATTCAGGGCTTCGCCCTGATACGAGCAGTCTAGTTTGTTTTCGAACTTTTATGTAAATGTTTTGGAAGTTCAATACAACTGTAGAATTTTCCCCTGGCCACGTATTAATTTTGAAAATTAATTATGCATTAAGTATGCATTTCAAACAAAACGCAAATTAAGTATGCATTTCAAACAAAACGCAAATTAAGTATGCATTTCAAACAAAACGCAATAATAAAATTGATTTTGTTTGATTGATCCCAGTTTTTCTCTCAAGCTACTTATCTGTTGCGGAAATAAATACCACGACAGTTTAATTGTATTTCAGAATTGTGCGAGATTACGCATTTGTGCAATGAAAAGCTGTTTCTCTTGCAATTCAGCTTCGCAAAGCATTCTAATTGTTTTGCCTTTTTGTGACGTTTGAAAATTTTTTTATTTTGACCCTATATGCATCGCAAATAGTGCGAAGCTCTGCTTCATCTCCGTGTTAAAGATGATGCATTCAAAAGTTTCATGGGGCCTTGAAGTTATTAAATTCCTACTATTTCAGCGACTCAGTGTGGGGTGTTTTGTCGGGATGCAGCCTGGGCGGAGTAGATTTGATGGTTCCATTTGGTAATGGAAATCAGCAGCAGGCGCCATCACAACCGCCACCCCCTCTCAGCCCAGTGATAGTGCACGACGTCAAAGAAATAGAACACTGGATCATGCGACTGTTATCTGCCCCAATCCCCATTCCCGGAAAGACACGTATTGAAGTCGAGGTTAGAAATCCGTCAAAGTTAAATTGTTGCAGGGTAAATAAACTTTGCGCTCGAAGCATTTAAATTCAGTTTTTTTTAAACCGAACATAACGAAACCGATTTGAAAAATTTAGTATCTTTATGGTTGATTATGAAAGACAAAATATCACACATTCCATAACATCCTGACTTAGTACTTAACTGGCACAAGCTAGCTGAATCAACCTTTCTTTCAGTTGTTGCCTCGAAGAATAGCGAGCCCGATTTTGTTTGCTCTGCCAGATGACACCCGATTCAGTCTCTGCGACTTCCCCCTTCACCTTCCCCTGGAACTGCTGGGAGTGGAGACATGCATGAAGGTCATCACTTGTATCCTGTTGGAACACAAGGTATAAATTGTGCTCTTATCCTCTGTGCTATCATTTGATTAGTTTCATTGACAAGCCGAGCTTTTGTGGGAAGGTGCAAATCATTTCAGTCCTTCAAAATGCTCAAAAATGAACTTATTTTCCGTTGAAAACAGGGTAAAATCGAACGGTAATCCGAAAATGAATGATGGTCAGAAAAAAATCTCAACATGGCTATGGTTCAAGTCTCAGTGCACGAAATAAAATTCTTCAGTCATTACTTTCTTATTTTTTAGTATATCAGTTTTGATCTTGGCACTGGTTTTTGTTGCAGATTGTTTTGCAGTCGAGGGACTACAACGCTCTCTCGATGTCTGTACTGGCTTTTGTGAAGATGCTGTATCCTCTCGAATACATGTTCCCCGTCATACCATTACTTCCTACTTGCATGAATTTCGCAGAACAGGTGAACAATCTAATTGACCTCTGTTAAACTCTAATTATTCAAAATGAACCTAATTGTAACGGTGGTTGAAACTTGATTCAGCTATTGTTGGCTCCAACTCCCTACATCATTGGCGTCCCTGCGACGTTCTTTCTCTACAAGCAGTCATTCAGACTCCCCGATGACGTATGGGTCGTGGACCTGGATTCGAATAAGGTAATATAGTCATTTCTTAAGTAGCCATATTATTAAATGGCAATGAACGAAGTCTTGTGATATTTTTATTTTGTTATTTTTTTTGCATTTTGATTTTTTATAAGGTCATTTAAATGGAAAGCACATTAATCTTTTTACGATTGCGATAAGCATGCGTTATCAAACTGGAGTATAGAGATTTTTTAACAAAATCAGTTGAATCCATCCTTTTCACTTCTCTTCTTATCTTTACTTCTCTTCTTACCTTGTCTTAAGATACTCCAGATTGCTTCCCATTCGCCTGGATGTAAAGCAGTTGCCTATGTACTCTAAGGCCTGGGGTTCGAGTCGTGGCGGGATCTTGTTTTTATTTTCAGTATCCGAGAAAAGTGAATTTTTGGTTTTTTGTTTGTTCGCTCAGGTTTTGTCGGCTAAATTGCCACAACGGATTTGGCTTGTGCTGTAGACAATTTTCCTTGTAGTTGCAAGTGCAAATTTTGTTCATTCCAATTCCAAATTTTTTTGTTTTGAAAACATTTCATAGAATCTTTTTTTTTTCGGTTCAGTTGGTGTTCGCTCAAAGATGCTCGGCTTAGTTGCCAGACCATTGATTTTTCTTGTGCTGTAAACAACTTTCATTGTAGTTGCAAGTGTAATTGTTGTCCATTTTTGTTTAAGGTGGGACTTCAAACTTTTCTATAAAATCTTTTTTTTTTCGGCTCAACTTGTGTTTGGTCAAAGATTGTCAGCTTTGTTTTTTGGTTAAATTTTGTTTCATTGTTGCTGATTTAAAATTCAAGTGTCTGACATATTTGCATGGAGTGAACTTCTATCCGTACATATGAAAGTTTATATGAGCTAGTTTTTTTTAAAGCTTTCATTTTCGGCTTCTTATGTTTTTATGTTAGTGTTGTATCGCAAGTGGTGCGAAGCTCCGCTTCGTCTCTGTTTTCAAGAAAACAGAAGCGCAATTGACGCAAAAAAAATCGTGAATGTCTTTTCGTTTGAAAGTTCGATTTTGATTTAAGATTTTCCAGCGGAATAAAATGTTTATCCGTTTTTACCGTTCAAAGAGTTTTTTTTGTTCATTGACAATTTTTCATTGGTGTGTTACAATCTGAGAGAAAGTATATTGCAATCGGGTACTCTATTTTTTTCGGCTTAGTTAACTCTTTGTGAGTATCGTTTTAATACTAGGTTGAGACCGCCAATTGTCCTTCTCGATATGTTTTTTCTAAAATGAATTTCATTTGAGATAATCTCTGATAAGAAAGTTTTGGTACATGTAGTTTGTTTTTATGAGTCAATGAACGTAGTTCAGACTCTTATATAGGTCGTGATGATTTTTTGCTTTTAATTTCAGGAAAAGAATTCAAATGCTCTAATATTTTACAGCGGTACATTCATACATATTAATGCATTTATGAGTTCAATTAAAGTTCGCTAAAAGGCAGGCGAAAATCATTCTCCAAATATAAACGATGCATTGGCGCAAAAAACGTGATCGATTTCTAGTTTCCAAAGTGGAATTTATTTCTTAGAATTCTCAGCGAAATAGAAAGGTCATTTTTGTCCAATTTTCTCAGTTATGCTTAATTGAGTTTTGAAAAATGACAATGGTAAATGGTTTGTGATTTTCAAAGAGCTTGAAGGCCATATACTTGAAATTTTTCCTGAAGTTATATTTTTTTCTTGGAAATCATTTTTTTTTTCAGTATAATTTATCCGAAAAAGTGCCAATCAAAAATTGCTTATGTAATTTAAAGAATTTTAAGACCATATAATTTTTTCTTTGAAATTCGAAATATAAAGTTTTTTTTTTCTGTTTCTTTGCGTTCATTGACTCTTCCAATTGTCTGTTGGCTATGTTTCATCATTTGAACGTCTTTGAAACTTCCGGATAATTTCTTGATGGCTAGCTCGCCATGCTATCGCAAGTGGTACGGAGCTCCGCTTCGCCTACCCTCTGTCAAAATCTTTGCTTTATCCTATGTTGTTTTTGCATTTACAGATTACAGTTCCTCTAAATGCGGAAGAGTTGCCTCGCATCGTAGAACCAGAAGCAACAACTCTAAGAAACCACCTGAAAGGGGTAAGTTGATAACAAAACTATTGTGTGCTCCTGGTTTCTGCATTAGCGGATGGTCGCTGGCAATTAAGCTTATTTCATGCTCTCAGTCAAAATATTATTGGCTTGGTTTTTCTAGCCCTGAAAAAAGAAGCGTTCATCCGTAAAAACTGAGAAGCTCGTATTTTGACCCCTCTAGATTGAAGTTAAGTTATCTTCATCCCAATCTGAATTCAACCCAATGTGTATCTGAATTCAGAGAGCAGTTAAATGTCATGTAAATTTATTTGAATGCCTCTGCAGGCTCTCACAAGTATGTCGATGCCTCAGCCAATTCGGAACCTGGATGAAGTTGACCTTTCCCGATTCACAATCTCAAACGCCAAAGCCGACAGCTCCAAATCAGACGCAAATGTGAAGGACGCATTCAATCCCTACATTTTCGGAAACGACATTGATTCAATTGATGTTGCGACGCGAGTGGCTCTTGTGAAGTTCTTCAGCTCGCAGAACATTCTGGCGAACCATTACGAGCACATGAGGACACTAAGGCTTTTTCCGCGTCCGGTCGTGGCATTTCAGCTGAACAGTTTCCTGAAATCCAGACCAAATCATTCGGCTTTTACGGCAAAGCTAGCTAGAACTCAGGTTTGCTTTTTATAGAAAAATATAGTCTGAAAATTTTTATGGTTCTAGTTCACCTAATTTGGACTGTACGATTGATTTGTGATCTGCAGGCAGTGGAATATTTCTGCGAATGGAGTCTCTCTCCGAATAACATGACATTCCAGCGCATCCAGACAGGACTCATAGACCCAGGTGTGATAGGGGACAAGCCCAAGTGGTACCACAACCAGCTGACCTCCATTGTATTTCCTGTGTGCTCCGAAGGTTCTTCTCTAGCAGCAGCACTCTCTGTTCCAGAAGAACAGGAAGACGACTCAGACTTGAATTTAACAGGTGCATTACAAAGTTTGAGTTGAATCATTCTCTTGAAGTAATTTTTTTATGCTGGGGATTAGCAAGCGTTATCAAGCTGGAATATGGACTTTCTTCGGGTTAACAACTAGTTTAACAAAATCAGTTGAATCAGTTAGCTCGGCTGTTCTGATAGTAACAGAACAAAATGCCTCTTTACAGATTATTTTTGAGCATTTCTGTCTTTTAAATGGCCGTTACATTCGAATTTGTCTTGTTGGTTATAAGTCAACTCTTGTTTTTACTTGACTTTTTTATTTTTTGATTTATTTTATTTTTATTTTACGATTTTTTTAACCATTTTTTTCGACTCAGCTTGCGGTATTTTTTTTGGGCTAGCTGCCATGCCATTTATATTGTGTCGCAAGTGGTGCGAGGCTCCGCTTCCTCTGTGTCTATCTTCATTAATGCGTTAAGTTCATTTTTTTTTTGGTTCCAACTTTTTCTATGCAAAACAACAATCACGAATAATCATTAGTATGGATAATTTCAAAAATTATCTGCAAAAAATAGAATTAGAATTTTTTGTTTCTCATTCACTTTTCGAGTATGTTTAATTAACTTGTTTTCTAACTTTTCGTCTCATAATACAAGCTCAAAAAACAACACAATATTGGAAAAGAAAATTGTTTTTCTTTTGTTTTTTTTATGAATGTGGTAGTAATTTTTTGTGCTTTTTTCATTTATAAAGTAGCTTTCCGCTTGGTAAGAGTAATGAGCGTAGTGAAGTTTCTTATATAGGTCTTGCTGATTTTTTTTATTTTTCAGGAAAAAGTCGTAAAATTTTGATGCACTTAGGTATATATGCACTTTTTTGAGTTCAATTGAAATTCATCTGCTGAAAGCGACGTAAATAGCACTATCCAAATACGAACGTGCAAATGGCGCAAAATTTCGTGAAGGATTTATAGTTTCGAAACTGGAATGTAACTTTTAGATTTCCAGCGGAATAACAACTTTACCTATTGATCCAGTTTTCTCTAGTTGGGTTCATGTAATCAAAAATACGTCTATCATAAATTTTTCTAGAAATTCAAAGAGCTTAAAGGGCATCTATTTTTCTCTTTGAAATTCGAAAGGTGAGATGTTTTCTTAAGAAAGTCCGTGTTTTTGTTGTTTACTTGCGTGCATTAATCTTTTCCAATCTTCGCTTAGTTTCTATGAGCCAAGTTATTATTTTTGCTGTCTCTGATTGTATTAATCTGAGCCTAGTTCTCTGCCAACTAAGTATGGTCACACTACACTGAACTTTTTAATTTGACCAATGAAAGGTACCCTATATCTCTGCCAATTAAGTATGGTCACACTACACTGAACTTTTTAATTTGACCAATGAAAGGTACCCTATATCTCTGCCAATTAAGCATGGTCACACTGACCTTATTAGTTTGACGAATTGTCTTCGGGTCTTATTTTTTCTATATTTTCTTTAACGCAAAATCAGTTACCTGTAATAATCTTCGGAATGGGTGGAGTGATCTATCATATTTCGCAAATATTAGTGATTTATTTGGCTCCATATTCATCAACTTAAATTATCTTCATCTGATAAAGGTATTGATTTCATGCAACAGTGTAATAATAAAAAAATCAATGCAGAAATTTTTCAAATTTTTGTATTGTGCGAGGTTGTTGAAAAGCATATTTTCATTGCAATTTTGTTAAATACATTCCAATTAATTGTTACATTTTATTATTACATTATTACGAATTATTACATTTGCGTTTTTGTGCATTTCAGCGCATTTTGCCGCTCTCTCGCGTTTGTTTGCGAAGTTGCCGCTTCAGTTCTGTGTAGAAATTTTGAGAACTTTTTGTCAGATAAATCGGTTTTGTCGGAAAAACCGGTTTGTATATTTTCATTTCTTAGTCTAATTTCGAGTGAGTAACGTGTGCAAGTTATGTTAAGTGTTTAAAAATTGGTTATTTAGGCTAAGACATCTTTAGTTTTTGAAGCTTCGTTCAGCGCTTACTTGAGAATTAGAAAAAATTGAATTCATTTTTTTCAGTTTTCGAAAAAGGTATTCCCCAATATGCTTAATCAACAAATTTTCCTTGACATTGTATATTTTTTTCCCGCAAACCACGTCCAAAAACAAGAAGAAAATAGGGGTAAAAATTTTTTTTGTAGTCTTGCTTATTAATGTGGTCGGAACTTTCGGAACAATGCAAGAGTCTATCCATGTTGCAAAATTTGTTTTTTTTGTTTTACTTCCAACTGCTAGTATCAATGCTTCATTCGGAAAAAGAGAATTCGAAACGTTCAAAAGAACTTTTTGTTCCGACGACTGAAGGCGTAAGGGAACTTTGTATTCAGGTGTGCTTGTTACAATTAGATTCAGGTGCCTCAAACAATTTCCCAAATGTTTCCAGTATATTATCATTTTAAAGACTTTCCACTTTTGATTCAATCAACAGTACAAAATTTCAAAATGGTTGAGCATTGTCGGGATTAAACAGTTCATTTTTTTTTTTTTTGCTTTCAGTTCTAGTTTCGACTGTAAAACAAGCGAGAAACGACTGAAAAAGAAAATCAATTTTTTTTTAGCTCTGACAAACTTAGTTCTTTTCTAGGTAAATGCATTTTGTGAGCCTCATTTAGTGCTTTTTGGCAATAAAAAACTTTCAAAAATCGAATTTCCGTCAAGCTATTAGAATCGTTTTTTTCTTGTCATCCCTTTTTGAATGCATTTGTTTTCGATTATGATCAATTTATTTCAGTTCATAGCTTTTTTCTTTCCTCTCATCACATCACACAGAATTTTAAAAATTTCAAAAATCTTCTATGTGAATATGTTTGAAACTTTCTGTGCTAGTTACACGGTAGCTGGTTACTCTTTTTCGCTTGTTTTTGCGAAGTTGCAGCTTTGCCTCTGTTTAAAACCTAAGAGAAGATTTCTGAGTCGAGAAGCGTGCAATTTTTAAAGCGTGCAAGTGACGTTCAGTGTTCAAAAATTGATTAATTAGGCTAAGACAACTGATTTTAACCAATTTTTTTTTCGAAACTTCTTTAAGCGCTGGCTCCAGACTTTTTTTATATTCACAAAAATTGAAAAAAAAAATGAATTAAATGTTTTTTATTATTATTTTTCTATAAAAAACTTCTCCGTTATGTCTTATTAACTAGTTTTCCTTGCCATTAATGTGGTAGGAACTGTCTGTGCTGCTTCCAATGCAATCGTTTATTTTGTCTCACTTTCAAAAGCTTGTTTTAATGGTTTGTCCGAAAAAAGACAGTTCAAACTGTTCAAAAGAACTTTAAGTTTCGATCACTGAAGCTAGGAGAAAACTTCATCCTCGGGTTTGTAAATTTTCCATGCAGTTTCAGGTGCCACAAGCAATCATTCGAATGGGTCAAGTAATTTAGCCTAATTAAGACGTTTTGATTCAAAATCTTTAAAAAAATTTTAAATCTATGGGTAAATTTTATCGAAAAAGTGTCAATCATGAATTGTTCTCGAAATTCAAAGAGCTTTAATGGCATCTATTTTTTCTTTGAAAGTCGAAAGTTGAGATTTTTGCACAAAGCAAGCCATTTGTTTTTGTTAAATTGCTTTCATTGGCTTTTTCCCAACTCTGTTGGCTATGTTCAAGTATTTATCATCCGTTTTTGAAGGCGCTTGTATCCTTGTATGATCAATTCGTTTCCGTTTTTAGCTCCGTCTTTCCTGTCATCGCACCATGCAGAATGAAAAGCAAATCTGAAAAAAAATTTTATGATTGTGGTCCGAACTTTCTGTGCTAATTTTACTGCAGGTGGTTACTCCTTTCGAGCTGGTTTTGTTCTTCGTAAAAGTATTCAGCAAAACGGCTATCGGTTTAACCGAGTGGTTCGGTTTCATAGAAAGAAGGAGAAGTGTGTAAAAGGGGATATAAACAATTTAGGTTTTTCTTGAACGTATTTCCGTAGCTAACACTTTCCTTTATTTTTCGGATGTTTCTTTTAAAAAGTAGATGAACCTAGTTCAGACTCTGATAGGTCGTTTTTTTTTTAAATTTTTTTTATTCAGGAAAAGTCTTAAAATTTGTTTAAGCTCAAATTTACTTTTTAGCGGTTTAACTTTTGATTTTTTTTAAAATTTCAGATCATTATCTTCGTTACAAGGAATGCAAACTCCACTATTGAACAGCAAAAAATGTTAAGGCCAGGATACATCTGATCGACTTTAGTTTCGAAAGTTTAATTTATTTTTCAGATTTTCTAGCGAGAAAATAATATTATACTTTTTGATACAGTTTTCTCAACTTGAGTTTAATTTTATTTAAAAAAGCCAATCATAAATTGTTCTAGAAATTCAAAGAGCTTTAAGGGCATCTTTTTTTGGTTTGGCATTCGGAGATTTTTTCAAAAAACAAGTTAGTTTTTTTTACTTACTTGCGTGCTTCGACTCTTTTTCAACTGTCTGTTGGCTGTGTTTGCAAAATAGCGCTCTGCGAAGCTGAGATTAGCTTAGTTATCTCCTGTTGTTTGGTTTTAACTGCCAGACCTGGCGTATGCGGAGAAAAAATTTGAATGGTTTTGCCAAAAATAATGATAAGTTTTCAGGTTAATTTATCGTAGTTTCTTCTAAGTGTGTAATAAGTCCATGGTTGCAATTAAATTCATTACATTTGTCAGATTTAGGCCTCCGCTATTCTCTGAACTTTGCGAACGGGGGCGCCTTAGCTTTTGTTTATAATAAGTTGCTTGTTTTTCTGCAGATGAAAGTGCGGACGAGGAAGCAGTATCTGGTCACAATGTGTCGACCGGCAGTGGGGCTGGAGGAGGCCAGTCTGCCACATATTCTGGTGACGTCACTTCCCTCAAGTCCTCCTCTTCCTACTCTTCCCTTACAGAGTTCGTGAGTGACATGCGATCGGCAGACATTAGTGGAGACTGTCTCCCTCCTCCTCCGTCGTCGAATGGTTAGTGTCTGGTCAGATGATTCCTTCTAGGTTCGACTGTCTTAATAAGTCTATTCTTTTTTGTTTGGACTTAGTTTAATTCTAAGTAATTCTTTTACGAAGAGTTTTGGTATGCCAATACTTGAGATGGCACTTTGAAAAAGTGAAATTCTTAGCTATATTGGATCCGTTTTCCTTGCATAAAATGAATTTAGTTTGTTCCTTTAGATGTCTTCGGACAGCGCATGCTGATAGACCAGAGTAACTACAGGGTACCGAAGACACTGTTAGTTCCACAAACGGAAGCTCAGAGTGGAATCGAAACACCGTGTGTTCCCTTCCATGTGGGAGATAGTTTTACTCCTTGTAAAGGAGGAACCGGAACCAACAGTCTACTTGTTCCGCCTAATGATGCGTCTAATGCACTTACTCTGGGATCTGATGGGAGCTATGGTGGTCTAGGAACAAGTGACACAGACAATGATGCAGAATCTATCCATAGGTGCTTATTGTCTCTTCAATTAAATTTTAACCAAGTTCTTAAAAAGTTTGGGCTGGAGCTGAAATTGAAAATGTTGCATTTGATCTAACAACGAAGATGAAGGTTGTTCTCAAACCTAGTTTGTGCGGATAAAAAGTTTTCTTGCAATTACGTATGCAAAATTTTGGCTATTGATAATCAGCTTTTCTTAAAAAATGGTAGAATTATTATCTGTTGTAGCGAATCAGATGACCCCGCTATCGGCCATAGTAAATCAAGAGACGCATTCAGCAGTGGGGGATCTTCAAGTGACAACAGAAGTTCTAACCAAAACGGATCAGCAGAACATGAATTCAAAAATCCCCTCTATGACTCATCTGCTACAAGAAAGGCTGTGTCTTCGACTAGAAACGTTTCTGGTATCGCGGCCCCTAAGGTTTGTTGAAATCTTGACTCTCACCTACTTGGTCAGAAGCATGCATTTTTTGGGCTAGAAAAAAAACAGCGTTGATATTGATAGTAGTGTTGCACGTAGTGCAGCTTCTTTCGGCACTTTTGCTCTTTTGGCTACTCTATGCATCATGATCTTCTGTTGTCGCATTAATATACTTACCCGGAACTGAACTGTGTGATTGTGGTTTTGAAGGATTATATGAGTCGTAAGCCACTATCGATGGACGTCGTCTCGCAACAGGTGGTGCCCCAATTACCGGTACAGCCATCAATCACGCCTACAGTGTCTTCCTTGTGGAGTTGGGCGACATTGTCGCTCCAACCCAAACCGACAGCTGATACATTTTATGATTCATCAACTCACTTGCCTCTATCAAAAACATCTTCAATGAGGAGTGCAGGAAGCAAGCGGTCGTCTGCGAGTATCGCCAGTGTTTCGGGGGATCCCGCTATTGCGGATTCCTCGAGTGCTTTTGACCCTAACGTTCTCCACGCTTATGATATCATAACAGGTCCCGATGGATCTTCGGCATTTTCAATGGATGAATCACCTTCATCACCCATTAGCGGAGAGAATGTGAACTTTAAGGTAGACAATGGTGCCGTCTGATACTTAGTGTGGCCTTTAACTGTCTGTTGCTCTTCCATTGCCTCGTTTCGGTGGTGGGGTCCGAGTTCTTCAATAACTGTTACTCATTCAAGCTTTCTTAAAGTTTTGACTGGCTGATTTGTTTTCGTAATGTTTTCTTTCATCTTAATCACAACTTAACATTTTAAGAATAACTGAGGCCTGCCTATCAATTACTTGCTCTTCTGAACACCGAAGGAATACTCTTTTCCATGCATATTAGTTACAACGAATAAACTTTGTACAGGGTTGTGTGATATGTCAAATTCAAGCCTTATCATTTCAATTGTGATTGGAGCTGCTCCGAAAAAGTTGAAAAGAGCTGGCCTGGTGTCGGGAAGAACTAGTCAGAGCTTTTTTTGCTTTTCAGACTTTTCGTTCCTTATTTTCGGCGCCGCGTGTCATTTCAAGCTAGGAGACAGTTATAATTGTTTCAAATAGTTCACACTATTCAAAAACCATTTTTCCTCAGACTCACAATCAATCGCATAGTCTTCTCCTAATGTCCCGCATCTCGCCAGAAAAAAACTGTTCGGAACCTTCGGTGTTACTTTTACAGCAACCCAACCGACTTCTCTTGCGTTATATTGAAAAAGACAGTTATAGGCATCCCCTACACATATGAAAATCTGATTTGTTATGGAAGATTCTGTCAGTATACAAATTAAATGTATTTTAAAAAATTTGAATTTTTTTGATGTTTATTTAATTTAGCTTCTCGGAAAACTATGGGAGCAAGTGGTGAGTTTTCTGTACATCTCTTTGAAATGATTCTTTTTATTGTTCACCCATATCGATAGCAAAGATAATTGGAATGCCCCATGTTTATGTACCTGCCTTTAAGTTTTTTATCAACCCGGGCGTCGACTGAATCCCCAGCGATAAAATAGTCTTGGACAAAATTCTACTGCACAAAATCACACAGGACATTGTTGCCTACTGTTTAAAATATAGTAAACAAAAGTCTAATTACAAAGACATTTCTAAGCACAAGTCGTGTTCAAGTATCAAGGAACGTAAGGTTTGGATGATTTTTTTAAATATTTTAGGAAGAAGTCTTACAGTTTAGTTTGTTCACGCTCAAATTTGATTATTCGCGGTTTGGCTTTTGAGGTCTTAGTTAAATTCATTTCTTGGAAAGAAGGTAAGCTCCACATTCGAACAGCGAAAGTGTAAAGGCCACGAAAAACGTGATCGACTTCTAGTTTCGAAACTAGAATTTAATTTTCACATTTTCCATCGAAAGGAAAAATTTACCTATTGATCCAATTTTCTCAAATTGGGTTAGTTTTATCAAAAAAGTGTCCATCATAAATTGCTCTGGAAATTCAAAGAGTCTTAGAGCCATCTTTTTATTTTTGAAGGCTTAAAGTTTTGTTTTGAACTACAGTCAGTTTTTTTTTCAATTCTGTCTATACAGATCTGTCTGTGTATATTATACAGTCTGTTGGCTATGTTAGTATAAAGATTTCCCCGCTGAATAAAAAAATAATATTGATCTAGTTTTTTTAAATTGGGTCTAGTTTATGAAAAAGCCAATTATGAGGTTCTTGAAATTTAAAGAGCTCAAATGTGACGTATTATTTTCTCCGAAGTTTGGAAATTGGAAAATGTTTATTGGCTTTGTTAAAGTTCAATTCGAGTTTATTTGCTAAAAGTTAAGCAAATTATGCTCTTAGTTTTAACAGTACAAAGTACATTTGAAAGTTAACTATTGAAATAAGTTACAGAAATGGAAGTTTTCAAAAGCAAAAAAAATACAACTAGGTTATGGTCCATAATAAAAAAAAGTGCAAATGGCTTGGACGTTTTTTCCTTTCTTTTAATAGTTTTATAACTAATGGTTATAAAAATGAAGATAATTTGAATTTGACTCCCAAAATAAAAGCGGACACCCAATTTGAGGACCTTAAACAGTCGAACCATGTTGTACTAATTTGCGCCATGTTCAAATTTGCACACTTTATATTTTGGCATTTTTTGTCAAAATTGATTACGCCGCGAAAAGTTCCTAGATCTGCCAGTGCTTCTTGATAAAGCAAAGCCGTTAATTTTGTAAAGGATTTCTTTCTACCAAAGGAGTCTGATTTTAAGCTTCAATGAACGTACAGAAATAAGAATAGCGCGAAAAAGGTGAACACCTATATTCGAAAGTGGATTTTGTTTTAAAGATTTACTAGCGGAATTTGAAAAAATATAGAGCATTTCGGTGATAAGCAAGGGTATTGCAATCGTTTACTAGACTTTTTCCCGTTCACAATTTTGTTGACAGAAGGGATGAAATGAAATGGTAATCATTTCAATAGCACCATGGTTAGTGTAGTGTGCAAAAAGTATCGATTAGAAGTTTTTTTGGAACGAATGTTGATGTTTTTTGTTGGCTTTCGTTTTGAACAACGGGTATTACAGATTGTGAAAAGTGACTTGTTACCGCTAGTTGGAATTGTATGGTCTACCTGGAATAATTTTTTTTCTGCAAATCCCTGCGAATCTCTGAGTTATTCTGTTGACTGGAGTTATTTTGGAAATTGAACCAATTTTTTGTGCCCAGAATTTTCCCTGGTACGAAAAATGAATCCAAAATTGTCCAGGTTTTGGTAAACTTGGTTGAAGTCAACTGAGAGCTCTTTCTCACCCTCGCCACGATAGGGGATCGAACACGATCTCAAGAAAATACCGTACCTCTTTATCTAAGTGTATGATGCTTAGTATAGCATGTTCCGAATTTGTATTGGAGCATAGTATCAAAGCTGAGGAAGTTAAGTGTGTGAAAGAAGGCGGTAACAAGAAGTCGTATTACCGAAGATATGGATTCGTTTTAGCCTATCATCAGTCCACATTTTAGAAAAAAGGACTGCATACTATAGAAAGAAAATTAAATCAAACGTTGTTTTTCACGTCTTTGAAACCTCAGAGAATGAGTCGAACTCTCATTTGAATTCACTAGTGTCGAAACGCGTGTAGTTTTCATCTTTATGAGTCGTTTACTGGAAAAATAATGAAGTGGGTTTAGTTTGACTTAAAAAGAAGTGAAAAATTTTGTCCGAAATTTTGTCATGGGGGTGTAGTCTTAGGAGTTACCTGCAGTAGGAATTGACCCTGGGAGCTATTCGTAGACCCTATTTAAACAGTATGACCTAATTTAGTCTAGCCAGTTGTTGGTATGGGATAACTTCTGATATATACGGCTTCTATTATGACTTGGGTTGTTTCAGCGTCAGAACGACAAGCCGGTGAAACCAAATGGAGGTAATCTAAACCAAGACTCGGGATTCGTTAGTCGCAGCCAGAGTGTCTCCGTTGGAACAGGAAGTGCGAGATCAAGTCGGCTTTCCTCGGCTAAGTCCGACCACAATCCAAATACTTCGGCATATGAGAAAGGTGCGTGGATTTTAATGAGAATTGATATCTCCACTTTTCAACTTTTTCTTGCTTAATTGAATAGCAAACCCCCAACAAATAATAAATGTTCTCGTCCTAAATAAAAGGCGCTAAAAGAGTCAAACTAAGCGGCTATTGAATTGAAAGGTGATCGGACAGCTTTCGTGGAAAAAACTGCCAGTGTAATATCGAGACAGTCGCTGAGAAGTGGGAAAGCAGTAGCCAATCAGATCACAGCAAGCGGAACACGAGTGGCTAATGCGTTTGATCGAAGTACCTTCAAGTAAGTTATGCAACGCTCATGATTTTCGTCTAAATTATCAATTACCCAAGAGGTAGATAAGCGTGGCTTTGTGTTGAGTTTGAATGAAGGAAGTTAACTGTTGTGTTAAGTTTGAATGAAGGAAGTTAAGTGTTCATGAACGGAGTGATTTAAAACTGGTTTCGGTTATGTTTTTTAGTAGAAAAAGTCTGATTTAACTTTCATATTTGATGTTTCAGTTTGATTAAATTTCTATTCATTTGCCAAATCGAAGGCGCATTACGCTGTCCAATTACAAAGTGTATACGTTTTGACTTTAAGTAAACGTGAATAACTTTTAGTTTCAAAAATGGTCTTCAATTACTTTATTCCTAGCGGAACAAAGCGATTACTGCTAATTATGAAGATCAAGAAATATTTTTCAAATTCAAATAGTTCCAGTGTTATTTTTTCTTCGTAGAAAGTATTTCAATTTCGTTGTTCATAGACATTTATCCAATTCTGTATCTTAATATGTTTTTTTTTGAGTTGTTGAGCGTAGTTCAGTCTCTTATATAGGTCGTGATGATTCCTTAGGTAATTAAGATTCCTTCTGATTAAACTTACGAAGCAAAGTGTATTAGTATGAAGTTTCTTTTTTCCCAACCTAAGCTGGAATTAAAACTGCTACTTTCGGTGGCACTTTTGAATTGGTAGGCTGCGGTAGCAGTATAATATTATATGTGCTTTGACATTTGATTAATAATAAGTTAACACAGCTGATGCATTTTCAATTCATCAAATGAACCGAAAAAAGTTGTTTCCTTGAAACAGCAGTACAATGATAAAAACCTCGTTTTCAGAAATTTTCCGAGTCACTGTATCTCGCAATTTTCTGAAATGCATAATTTATACGTAAGGCATTATATTTTCCAATTTATTACATGCAAAATTGTGTCTTTTCGTATTTGGTGCTACTTCTGGTGCATCGAACTGGCAATTTATTATCATATGTTGCTGCGTTATTGGTGGTAGGTTTTTGGCGGTTTTAAGCAACCGTGGCTGAGTGGTTAGTGCGTGAGACTTAAATTTGCATGGTCGCTCATTCGAATCCAACACGTAGCCGAGTTTTAGCTATTTCGAGGCTTATTTCTATTTTTCTTATTTCATTCGATAGAGCTGCCTTTTGGTCGTGTTCTCGCAAGTGTTTGCGAAGCGCAGCCTCACCTCTGTGTTATAAAGGTAATTATGATTTATTCTGATTGCATTAATTTGCAAACGAATGTATTTATACCTTTTTTCCTTTTTTTTTCAAAAAATAGTTCATTCGCCTAGTTCGACTTTGTAAAGTGAGTTGTATGAATTTTTGAATTTTAAGTTTTAAAGAATGGCTACTTTCATGCAAGCGACACCGCCTTCACTAGGTAGAATCCAAACGTTCCCCATTTAACGTGGTGGGTCCGACTCTTGGCGTCGAGCTACAGGTCACCGGGTTTTCGTTTATGAAGCGAATAGGCTGCTTTTCTTCATACTATACATCGCTTCGGCATAAATCCCAACCCAGGTCCATAAAAATGTTCAGTTGTAACTTACCCATTTAGCGAATTCAAACTAGCGTTTGGTGCCCTGTATGGCTGGATACATTTTAAATGTAGTGGCCTAAATTTTTCAAGTGCACACCACTGAGATTTTGATGTCCCTTGTGCACTCAAAACTATATTTTACCACAACCGAAATCAAAGATTCTTCAAATCCCTTAACTCCTTTTACTTGGAGCTTGGTTACCTCGAACTCAAACTCCCTCTCCGGTTTACCCCTCCAATCACTCCTAACTTTCAACCATCCAATCAACTACCACCTATCTGAGAACATTTAACCTCCTCTTCAAAACCATTTCAGACCACTTGCATCCCTTGTGACCAATTCTTGTTCTCTATCCCCAGCCAAAGGCTTTTAAAATTAATGCAGTTTAACTGTAATGAATTATCCGCAAAGTTAGTGCTTTTTAAGCGGAAATTGAATTTCATATTGCTTTCGAGAAATTAAATTGCCAAAACAAAGTTGGAATATATTCTGCCCCCTTCACTCGATTACCCGCAAAGACATTCAAAAAAGCGGTGGCGTACTATTTGCAGTTCATAAGCCCTTGCAACACGAAAAACCAAACATTACTAGTGACGGAACAACAGAGGCTATATGTATCTCAGTGGTCGCCAATGCGTCTAAGCTCCGTATATGTAACTTTTATATCCCTCAGATCCACTTGTCACCCCTGTTACTCCGCATCCCTTGCTGACCTTCTTCAACCTGGCACCGAATTAGTACCAGTGAAGGATGCAAATACACGCTCAATTTATTGGTACTCCAACCTAGAAGAAGATAAACCCGGTCAGACTCTCTATAATGAAATTAGCGAATCAACTTTGGGGCACTGAACAATGAAAACTAAACCAGAGTACCTTTTAACACCAAACTCAAAAACCCTCTCTAGACTTTAAACTGTCGTCACAATCTGTATACTCTCCGTATCCTGGTCGCTGATTAAATCCTAAGCGTCTAAACACCTCCAAATACTTATTGAACTATACCTAAATGAACAGCTAATTTAACTTCCAAAAAATTATAAGGACGTATTCATTTTCTTTTAGCTGAGTGGAAAGGTTTTACCGAGGAGATTGTTTCGAGTCTCCAAGAAACAGTTCCAACTTCACTATCGCGTTTCTCCGAGAAATCTTCCACTCTCGTATCAGAAATAGATTTCAGCTGTCATTTTTGCCACCCCATAGACCGTGACCGAACATCCCACCTGAATGGAAGAGTTCTAAAAAAGACAGCAAAAGATTAAAAAAATAATGGCGCCAATTCCTCCTGACCTGTGATTATCGCTCTTGCTCCAGAAAAGTTTGGAAAGCGATATGCTCCCTAAACGGAACCAGGACTGTTCAAGGTAAGAACCCAATCCAATTTGACTCAGTCCATCACTTACCCACTAGACATAACCAAAGCTTCTAACAAACAGTTCATCAACGCAAGAAGCCACACTTCAGACAAACTACCTTGTACAAAGAAACGTAAAATAGCAGCAGACTAAACGAGCCATTGCTGATATCAAATACTACCGAGCACTCGGCCCGTGTGGCTTAAACAATATCCACTTGGTCCTTAAGCCTTTCAGTGATTAAATTTTATGTTTACTTCCTGGCCGCTGAGACCATAATTCCTCAAATGTGGAAAAAATCGAAAGACATAACTTTGCCCAAACTAGATAAAACTTGAAGCTGTCAACATCAGACTTCAGAGCTTGAAATGTCCAGCAATTTAAATTTTATGAGGCTCCTCCATCCAGCTATCACATGGTTTCCACCCATTTCGTTGCACCATCAACTCTTGAGTTTTACTTACAGACAATTTTAATCAGAATGGGCCACTTTTACGCACTTTCATTGCTACACGAAACCTTAGAAATGGTGTGTCACCGTACTCGTGTAAAAAATCATGGCACAGCACTCCCAAGAAGTCTACTGCGCGGGCCCAGGAACTATTCAATCGAGCTCATTTGAATAGTTCCTGGGCCCGCGCAGTAAAGTCACCTATTGCTTTCGGAAGCAGTCTCCCCACATAGAGTACTTCACCGCAAATTCCCCAGGGTTGGGTACTATCACGCAGTCTTATTAATTTTACGTCCATGGCGCGCTTCATCTCACAAATTAAATCAAAAAATTTGATCAAAAATTAAATTTCGCATCCTCGAAAGGATCACCTTTTTTTGTCGTACAAAGACTAAAATAAAGCACCCAGAGTATTTTTAAACAACGAGCCTCTCCCGGTGAGCAAAAACTCCAAAACTTTAGGCGTTACCTTTGAACCGACTTTTAGTTGCATCTGGATACAGTCCGCTGACGAGTCTGGCGCAAGATAGGAGTCCTGAGAGGCTTAGCATCCCTCCACCCAAAGTTGACACCAGAACAATCCAGATATATCCGCTTTAAGCTCTCTCAACTCCGGTCCTGCTATAGCCGGCTTGTAAACATCTACTTTTTGCGACTTGATGGCTCCTTTTGCCCTCTATGCCCAACAGGTTCCCTTGAACCCCACACTACTTGTCACCTTTTCAACTGTATGCCGCGAAGTTTTTAGACCTGGAGACGGACGACCAACAATAAGATTTATTTTATTTTAATAACATTTTGAACTGCGGTGGGAAGCTTTGCTTTGTCTCTGAGTATGACTAAACTATCAATCGAAAAGTAGTTTTGAAATTCAAATCTATTTTACGTGATATAAGTTTTTCAAAGTTTTGGATTTTTTCAAGTCGCATGTTTCTCTTAAGTGTTGATTTATCATTGATTTAGGTCGTGTGTTTGTTACGTCTCAATTTTGATTTTTGGCGGTTGTTTTTTTTTGGTTTTTGAAGTGTCAATGAACCAAAGAAAGACTAATACAGGTAGGTTTTTTTTAATTTTTCGAGAAAGTCTTGAAATTAGTTCATGGTCATTTTTGAAAATAATTCACGGTTCGAGCTTTAATTGGTTTAAGTTCAAACCAATTTGATTTTGTTAAAGGAAGACAATTTTATGCAAGTGTGAAAGGCGAAACAACAAAGAAAAACTTTATTTCAAAAGTGCATTTTAATTTCTCAACAGTAAATTCCAAGTTTTCACTAATTAGGTGAGTTTTATGAAACAATTTCTTCCCGACAACTATTTTATGGAAAATAGAAATTGGAGTTCAGAAAAACATATTTTGATTCAGTCATAGTTAAGATCAGATATTTGTTTCAGTTTCAGCGATTGAGATATTCTCTGGTTATTCTCTGGTTATTAGACGGCTCGTGAAGCTTTATTCATGGAAAATTAAGCCACTGTCAAATTCAGATATACCTAGAAGTTCAGTGTTCTGAAATGCGTGTTTATTTGCAGGGCTAACAATCTTGGAAAAATCAAAAGGTAGATCAGCCGTCGCATCTTCCCTGTTTCTGTTACCTGTTATATATTTAACTCACAATATTTTAATAGAGATCCCGGCCTTCTGCTGGAGCAAATTTTGGGAAATGATACGTGAGTCCAGTGAATGTCGTAGACAATCCCGTATGCCTTATACCTCGTAGTTTTAATGTAGTTCAGGCATAAGCCTTCATTGATTTCAGTTACACTAGATCAATCAGCGTGGAAGTCACATCCCGTCAATCAACGCGCTCTGACCTCAAATTATGTTACTTACTTGATTGAGCCCAAGTTGTCTTTTTGTGATTTCGAAGTAAATGAAGATTTTGATTTCAGTTGACTGGCTTCAGCTCGACTCAAATTTAGAATGAACGACTTAGTTAACATTTAAATCATGAAGTAATCCATTAGCTCCGCTCTCAGATTGTTCGAAAATGGAATGGGGTCTGTATTTAGCCAACCACGTATTCATACTCGGCAGTAAGCAGACAAATACTGTATTAACCAATCAGACTCGAGATGAGAAAGCAAACTTACGAAATAATATTTATTAATTTCTTCCTTGTCTCGATTCTGGTTAATATAGTATTTGTCAGCTTACTGACGAATATGAATACGCAGTTGTTCAAATACAGCTGCCTAACATTCGAAAATGTGCTTGCTTGCAATTATGGCAGCTTCATTTTCATTAAGTAAAGGAAAAGCAAACCGCTCCATTGTTTTAATTGACTTTTTTCAGCGAGAATCAACAGTTCTTGTCTGAAGTGGTGGCCAACTGCATGGAAGGTCAGTCACCAGGCTTCTTCAATCTGAAAAAATTGAAGAAGTTACTTGAAAACGAAAGTCTAAGAGCGTATGTGGTGGGCAAAGTCGGCAACAACAATGACCAACCAGTTTCAAAGGACTTCTTGGAAGACCAGGTGAAAAAAAACAACAATGTGTTTATGGCTATGGCCTTTGGTGTCACGATAATGTTCAGTGCCATTAAGCATAGTTCAATAATCAGCCTGATAACGAGTATTTTGAGCTCATAGTTAATGCAGCTGTTCTCGTGGCCAGAAATACCATCGAAAATAACACTCAAATTTTCAGACAAAAAGCTCGACATTCTTTTTTTATATGAACCTGGTAGAAAATCAAATTCGTTATTTAGCACAGAGAGTGATCACCCAAAAAAGCCGCATCCACGGACAACCGAACAAAGTTTTGCCAAACATGAGCGAGCTAATGCCGCGTGTCTTTGATATTCTTTGTGTTGATGCTCAAATTTTGGCGATCCGCTTCCAAATATTTGTACGACTATCCAATTAGGCTATTCTTTGCATATTCAAAACACTGTTGGTTGCTCCTGGCAGTGTTTAAAACCAGACATTTTGCTTTCCAGGAGGTCAGCAAGAAAGTGTTCAGCAGCATGACGTCAGTTCTGAGAGCCGTCATCTGTGGTCTAGAGGAGAGCATAAAAGCGGCCAACTTTAACGGAATGGCATCTATCTTCATGTTGCTGGAGATAGCATACACACACGTATTTATCCGTGATTTGACCACCACTCGCAAAGCTGTCCCAAACGCATCCGCTGACCTGAGCTTGAAAAAAGTTGAAGGTGTGTTAGACAGCGCGACCAAAGGTTTTAACCAGAGTCTGAATTTCATCCTCACTGGTGAAGGTGCTTTTCCTAACCTTAATGTGCCCCCTAACTCACCAAATGTGTCAAAAATGTCCCAAAATACCCAGAATAACAAAACAGCTTCGTGGCTGGCACCCTTTTCACAGTCTCAGAGTCAACCAGAATCACCAAAAACGGCATCAACACCGGTGCCAGCAGGGGTCTATTCTTACCCGTCTGCTTCTAACGATAAATCTCATGACAATTATAACAGTTCTTCTAATGGTGGTGGCATGAGTGGAGAAGGGTCCTCATTTAAGCCTCCCTATGCAGACCCATTCGCCAATTCAGGGCCAGGAATTTATTCAAACATGCCCGGAAACAGCGGTAAATGTAGTATAATTTTTACTGTTTGTCTGTCATATTAAATTTGTATCACTAAATTCTTTTTGAAGTGAAATTTGTTCATGCTCAAATTAGGTTTTTCGCACTTTGATTTAGAGTCGATGAACGCAGTTAAGACTTAAGTCGCGATTTTTTTTCTCGTTTTTTTTTCACGAAAAATTTTACAATGTATTGAGGCTCAAATTTACTTTTCTGCGGTTTGAATTTTGAATTCTGGTTAAGTTCTGTTCATTTCCTTTGTTTACACTAGCGAACTTAAGTGAGCGTTAGTGTAATAGTACGACTACTCTTTTTTCTAAACTAAGTCGCAAATACTGATGCCACTTTTGGGGCACCTTTACAGCTTTTTAATAGCTTGTGCTTTCAAATTCGATTATGAATAACTTAACAATGTTGATGCTTTTTTTATTAATCAAATGTACTGAAAGAAACTATTTGTTTCAAGCAACATAACAATAATAAAAACTCGATTTCAGTAATTTTCTATTTCGGTATCTCGCAATTTTTTGAAATGCATATCTTATACACAATGAGGCTTAATGCTTTCTAATTTATTACATGCAAAGTTAGTGTGTGAACCTTCAGTTTGTTATATTCCAAAATTGTGTATATGTATATTTGTTGCCACTTTTGCTGCATAGCATTGGCAATTTATTAGCATATGTAGCTGCTTTATTAGTGACTAGTGTTAGAAGATTGATAAGTTTTCCTGGCCGAAGGGGTTGGGTGTGAGACTCCAATTCTTAAAGTCGATGGTTCGAATCCAATACGTGGCTAAGTTTTACTAATTGGAGGCTTATTTCTATTTTTTATTATTTCACTTTATAAAGCTGCTTTTTTTCTGTTCTCGCTAGTGGTTGCGAGGCGCATCCTTGCCTGAGTTAAAGAAAGGCAAACTCCCTTTTCGGACAGCGAAAGTGATAAGGTCACGAAAAACGTGATCGACTTTGAAAGTGGATTTTCATTTTCGGGTTTCCCAGCGAAATGAAAATTTCATCTATTGATCCAGTTTTCTCAAATTGGGTTAATTTTATCAAAAAGTGTCAATCATAAATTGTCAAACGAGCTTACAGGCCAACTCTTTAAGCGTAATGAACGTAGTGAGTTCTGTTATATAGGTCGTGCTGTGTTTTTTTGTTTTTTATCCAGGAAAGTCTTAAAATTTGTTCACGCTCAATTTTGATTTTTCGCGGTTTGACTTGTGAGTTCTTTTTATTTTCTTGCATTTCTATCGTTGAAAGGAAGGCAAACTCCATTATTGAATAGCAAAATTGTAAAGCTCTCGAAAAAGGTGATTGATTTCTAATTTCGAAAATGGAGATTAATTATCAGATTTCCCAGTGAAATAAAAGTTTTACCTATTGATCCAGTTTTCTCAAATTGGGTTTATTTTAACAAAAAAAACTGTTCATCATAAATTGTTCTACAGATCCAAAGAAATTTAAGGCCATCTATTTTTTTTGAAATGTAAATGTTGAAAATTGTTGAAAAAAAACAAGGCGTTCATTTCTCTTTTCCAACTGTTAGTCGGCTGTGTTTTTTCTTGGAAACTCTTGAATTGAGATTTTTTCAAAAAACAAGTCAGTATATTTTTCTGTTTAATAGCATGCATTGACTCTTCCAATTGTCGGATGGCTATGTTTATTATGTTGCCTAGCGGAATAAAAATTACATTTTAATCCAGTTTTTTGAAGTGGTTGAGTTTTTTTCAACACTTTCGATCATAATTCGTGAATCATAAAGCTATTTTTTATTATTTCACTTTATAAAGCTGCTTTTTTTCTGTTCTCGCTAGTGGTTGCGAGGCGCATCCTTGCCTCAGTTAAAGAAAGGCAAACTCCATTTTCGGACAGCGAAAGTGATAAGGTCACGAAAAACGTGATCGACTTTGAAAGTGGATTTTCATTTTCGGGTTTCCCAGCGAAATGAAAATTTCATCTATTGATCCAGTTTTCTCAAATTGGGTTAATTTTATCAAAAAGTGTCAATCATGAATTGTTGTCAAACGAGCTTACAGGCCAACTCTTTAAGCGTAATGAACGTAGTGAGTTCTGTTATATAGGTCGTGCTGTGTTTTTTTGTTTTTTATCCAGGAAAGTCTTATAATTTGTTCACGCTCAATTTTGATTTTTCGCGGTTTGACTTGTGAGTTCTTTTTATTTTCTTGCATTTCTATCGTTGAAAGGAAGGCAAACTCCAAATTGGGTTTATTTTAACAAAAAAAACTGTTCATCATAAATTGTTCTACAGATCCAAAGAAATTTAAGGCCATCTATTTTTTTTGAAATGTAAATGTTGAAAATTGTTGAAAAAAAACAAGGCGTTCATTTCTCTTTTCCAACTGTTAGTCGGCTGTGTTTTTTCTTGGAAACTCTTGAATTGAGATTTTTTCAAAAAACAAGTCAGTATATTTTTCTGTTTAATAGCATGCATTGACTCTTCCAATTGTCGGATGGCTATGTTTATTATGTTGCCTAGCGGAATAAAAATTACATTTTAATCCAGTTTTTTGAAGTGGTTGAGTTTTTTTCAACACTTTCGATCATAATTCGTGAATCATAAAGCTTTCTGTTGGTATGTTTTGTCGAAGGCTTGAAAATTTTCAAAGATATATTCAGTCAGTTTTTCGGGCTTCTCGCGTTCAGTTACTCCGATCCAACTGACCACTACACGTTCTAAATCAATAAATATACAAAACTTCTTTAACAAATTAGTCTAGCACAACTTCATAAATCTCAATTATTTCACGACTGGTGATACTTACCGTCTCTCGGGAACTGAAACACGATTTAAATTTCAAAACCGCTATCATTCTTTTAGAAAGCAAATCGAGATGTAAGCCGTAAGCTTACAAAATGTTTCAGTGTGTTGGGCTTGTTTCTTACATATTCAACAGCAATTGCTCAGCTCATAATCTTGGAAAACCTTTTGCAAAGGAGTATTTCGTTCATCTATTCTCAAGAAGATTTGTTTGAGAGGGTTACGTTTTTTTGTCATTTAATAAAGGATTACTTGGTCTAGCCTTTGTAGGATTTTGCAGATTTTGTAAGCTTATGGCTTACATCTCGATTTGCTTTCTAAAAGAATGATAGCGGTTTTGAAATTTAAATCGTGTTTCAGTTCCCGAGAGACGCTAAGTGTCACCAGTCGTGAAACAATTCAGATTTATGAAATCGTGCTAGAATATTTTGTTGAAAACGTTTTTTATATTTATTGATTTAGAAAATGAATTATGATCTGTTTGTTCTAGGCCTTTTGTGATTAAATGAATTCTTCTCCGAAATAAATGTTTTTATGAAAAAATGAAGTGCAAAAGTTTTTTAATGATTTTTTATTCTAGATTTAGTTAATAGATAAACTTTTTAGAATAATATATGTATTTTTGAAAAAATGACCATTTTTTGGCAACCCTTGAAATATATGGAAATGGAGGAATTTGTCCTCAGGCGCATTATTTGCTTAAAGAATATTTGTAAGAATATTCGCATTTAATTCAGTTTTATTGCTTGGTTCTGTTTTAACTACTGGGATTGTTACAGAGTCCAGGAATCAGAAGGACGAGAAAAATCCCAAGATAACAATCAACAAAAGCAGGTGAGAATTCATGTTTAGTTTTTTTGCCTTTTTTGAATTCGCGATTTATTTCAGCATCCAAATGTTTAATTTCATTTAAGACCCGGATCAATATCGTCATCAAATGGGAACCAGTCCAGTGATTTGGTCTCCGAAGTGGACGCGAAGAGAAGACAGATGGAAGAAATGCACACTATGGATTCTGCTAGCTCAGATAGCACATTCTCAGCCCTCACTCCCCACGCAACAAGTGCTTACCCGAGTTACGGAGGAGCTACGGGGGAGAGCGACGGAGGAAGTAGTGGGGCGGATACTCCGGCATCTGCAAGTGCGATGTCTTTTGTAAATGATACAGGACCTAGGCGAATCTCCCATCACTCTATCCGATCGACCGACAGCGAGTTTGAAGTCACATCACAAGGGGTTCGTTTGATGATGATACTAAAAATTGCATTTCCAGGTAGACTTTCGAGCTGTTTTTGACGTTTTCAGATCTATCGATGATGATTTTGGTTAAGTCACCGATCGTAAAGTAGAAAGCATGTAATCAAATTTATAATTTGTGGAATATAATGAGTTTAAAAAATGTCGCGAGATTATTAAAACGAACTATCTATTAGAAGGTAATATTGTCTGTAATGAATGAATAAGTAGAATGATGCTCACGTTTTAGTTCAGACAGATGCCCCAGCTATCCATGGGAGGAGCCATAGTACCCAAAATACCAAATGCAGTGAAGCAGGTGAAGAGTGTCTACTGCTGCGGCTACAGATACTACAATGGGATCCTCATGCGCCTGGAAAACATGCCGCCCCAAGAGGAGAACCCCAAGAAATACTTGTTCGAAATGGTCATAGGTGAGACTCAAGGAAAAAATGAAATATTTAATTTTTTTGCTATTTTTGTTCTGATTAAACCTCTGACTCATGGGCGTAATTTGTATAGCATAAAAATAAGACCTGATTTATTTCTTCTAGAAATTACGATCATGAGTCAGAGACTTAATCAGAACTTTTCAAACTAGAGAACAGTTTCGACTTATTATTGGGTTACGCATTGTGATTTTGGTTATGTAGCAGTTACTCGTCAGCAAGCAGACGAATGCTATATTAATCTATCAAAATCGAGACAAGGAAGAAATTAATAAATCATAATTTGTTTCTTAATACAGTATTTGTCCGCCTACTGACGAGTATGAATACGCGGTTGTCTATAAATACAGACAGTACTCCAGTGATTTTATATTGATCAGAAAGCAACCGTTCTCCACTGTGGGACAACCTGCAGTTCTGGGAGGACTGTTTCCTGGATGCAGTGGCTGCTGAGAGAGAGGCTGTCGGCATGGACCAGAGTCCTTCTGAGATGATGACCAGGTAATCATCCTGAAAATAGGGAAAACCTTGTCTTCGGAATGGTTTAGTTTTTTCTATAGTCATTGAACGTAGTGAAGGCTCTTACTTAGGTCGCGATGATTTTTTTTCATGCTCGAGCGTGATTTTTCGCCGTTTAATTTTTGATTTTGTTGAAACTTCAAACCATTTCTTTTTGTTGAAAGGAAGGCACGCTTCATTATCGAACAGCAAAAGTGTAAAGGTAATAAAAAACGTGAATGATTACCCAGTGGATTAACAAAATTACCAGTTCATCCAATTTTCTCAAAGTGTGTTAATTTTGTCAAAAAGTAGATTCATTCATAAAGTGTTGTTGAAATTCAATGAGCGTAAAGACCTTTAACTGTAAAAGAATAAAATGATTTTCACTTACATAGGTTTTCGTGATTGTTTCAGGAAACAGTCATAAATTGCTCTAACTACAGAGGTGCATCATTAATATTAATGCTCTATGGTTGCACTTAGGTATATATGCACTTTTTCAATTAATTTATTTTCATTTGCTGAAAAATAAACAATTGCTTTCTCAAATTACATTACGAAAGCGAAACTGGCGCGAAAATACATGAAAGACTTCTAGTTTCAAAAGTGGATTTTTATTTTTAGATTTTCCAGTGTGGAATTGAAATTTAACTCATTGATCCAGTTTTTATTATTGAGTTTATTTTTCAGAAACAAGTCCCACTCAGGAAAATTTTTTGAAATTCAACAAACTGTATCCTAATAGATTTTTTTCTTCGAAAGTTGAAAAATTTTCATCTAACTCTCCTGTTGGCTATGTTTCATTCAAATGGCGGAAAACTTTGCTTTACTCCACAAAAACCAGTTTTGGAAGCTTCATTTTGATTTCCCGTGGCAAATAATAGAAACATTTTTGAATTACTTTTGTTATTTCCCTTGCGATTAGCTAGGGAATTGCAACCGGGCACTAGACTGCCCGTATATAACTTTGTTCACAGGACTCATCTCCTTGTAGAACCTTGATTCACAATGAATTCAAATTTACTAGCATCTCCGGTACATTTAGCCTGAAGGTATCAAATCCGCTCGGGATGACAAATGTTCTGATTTGAATCTGATCAGAACCTGTTTTTTTTTCATACGGGTGCTACTCTGTTTTAAGTGAAATTTTCGGCCTTTTATTTGTCTACCTATGTTTTGTCGGCTTAGTTGCCATATCTTTGAATCGTTTTTTTATTGTACGGAGTTTTCATTGTAGTTGCTTTAAGTGCTTTGATTGAATCCTGCAGTTGGTAATTTTAATTTTTCTAAACTTGAATTTGTATTACGTTTTTTATTTTTTGTTGTTTGACTTACAAACTTTATTCGGGCGAAGATTTTTTGGTCTATATTTTTATCGGTTTAGTGACTTAATTTTGGGTCGTTCAATGAAAACACAGTTTTTATGGATTGGCCAAAATGCTGAAATTTTAAAAGTTCATGACATAATTTTGTATTTGGTTCTACTGGAATTTACTCAAATTTTGTCGGCTCTGTTCCCGCTCGATAATTGTTTTCGATTGTTCGTTAAACGCCGTTTTTTGTGTTTCTGGATGGGTTTTCCGCAATTAGAACGGCATTTGAGACAACAATGTGGATTTTCTTAGTTGTGGTTTTCTAAATTTTTTCATGTTTTTGTCTTTTCTTTCCTGTGTGCTAGCTTGCAATGCTATTTTATGTGATATGGCAAGTGGTGCAAAGCTCCGCTTCGCCTCTGATTTCATTTTTTGAAGGAAATTGTTGTGGATTATGCCTAAGTCACTAACTTTCTGCGCGTTTGTATAGTTATCGCCGCACACGACATTAACTTGGAAAAAAACGACACTAACTTGAAAAAAAAAACATTTTTATTATCTATATTTTTTATGAATGTGGCCGGAACATTCTGTCTGGCTATCTTTTTACTAATAAGTCATGGTTGAAAGTATTATATCTCTATTAGAAGTGGTTTGTTTGATATGGCAGGTGATTCGTGGCTGATTTCCGTAGACTAAACATAAACTTCGTAGTATCTAGAAGCTTATTTTTGCCTGGTGCAGCTTGTATTTTCCAGAACTTCGAAAGTGTTGTTTTTTGAGTGTCTACGCGAATGCAGTTTCGCCTGTCGATAATGCGGTATCTTCGTGAATTAGAAGTCATTGCGAAATCGGTTGCTTGTTCGAAAACAAACTGCATAAATCTTCATATAGTCAGCGGTCAATTATTACAATGGAATCTTAAAGTTGATAGTCTTTCTGAAAGGTGAAAAACAACAGTTTTTTCTATCTCATTTCAGATATAAGACGCTGGGATTAGATGAACAAAAAAGGATCGAGGCGGAGGAAGATCGTCTGCTCTCCACCACTCTTCATAATATGATAGCTTTCATGCTGGCGATGAAACTCAACCCGAAAGACATCAAGAAAAAGGCCAGGAGACTCCTCGGCAGGTCGCACATTGGGCTAGGTTTCAGCAAAGAGGTCAACGATCTGCTGGACAGACTCAATTATCTCGTGAGAATCATGCAATTCGCTCGTGAAATAATTTAGAACGATGAGACTGAATTATCAATTGCCTTTGTTAATGCATGAAGTTTTCCTCAACTATAACTGTCTGATTGCTTGGTTGACTGAATCGATTGAAAATTGAAGTTATGTACCCATTAATTGAATTCTCTATGATTTTGAATGGTTTTAGGCTGGCAATGATATTGACTTGAAGCCTCCAGTGAGCCGACAGTTGAAGAGACAGTGCTTCGTGGTCCATGCAGGAGTGGACAACAAAGGAGATGTGCTCTTTCTAGAGGTCAATTTTACTCTCCTTAGTAGTAGTTAGAACATAGTTGAAAGATGCCCGAGGGAAAAAGAGCCGGGCCCGAGGGCACGAAGTGCCCGATGGTGGCTCTTTTGCCCGAGGCCATCTTCAACTATGTTCTAACTGTTGAAGAGTATGTTTGCTCTTTCTGTTTGTTTTTGCGGCTTTTTTCCTTCCCCCCTTCCCCACCTCGTATGAGCATCATTTTCATGATGTAATGAGTGGCTTTATAAGGTTAATTAGCAAGACCAAATATGTTTGTCATGGCCCGATTAGTCCGCATGCCAATTTTCATGTTAATCGGTTGGTGAGAACAGAAATTTGGTGGGAACAGGGGGAAAAGGAAAAAGAGCCATTTTTGCTCTTTCAGTTGTTATAATCGGGCTTCGTTCAAAAAAAGAGCACGGAAAATTGTGAAAAGTGCGCGAAACTATGCAAATGATATATTTATTTTCTCATTCATGCGTTCTAATATTTCATTTTTCATTCATGCCTTGTCGTGAAAGAACATGTGTGAAAGAGCAAAAACATACTCTTCCAAAAAAAAATCGTCTTTTATAATATGTGTACACACATGTACTTCGTCTAAAACTCATGAAATATCAATTACAAAGCATGGATAGTACGTCGTTCAACTTTAAGAGTAATGAACGTAGTGAAGACTCTTTAATAGGTTTTGCTGATTTTTTTTTTTTTTTTTTTTTTCAGGAAAAGTCTCTAATAACTACAGAAGTGCATTCATACATATTAATGCATTTATGAATGCACTTAGGTATTTATGCATTTTTTGAGTTCAATTGAATTCCATCTGATGAAAGTGACGTAAATAGCACTCTCCAAATACGAACGTGAAAATCGCGCGAGAAAGCGTGAACGATTCTAGTTTCGAAAGTGGAATTTAGTTTTCAGATTTCCAGCGGAATAAAAACTTACCTTTTCATCCAGTTTTCTCTAGTTTGGTTCATGTTATCAAAAAAGCGCCAGTCATAATTTGTTCTAGAAATTCAAAGAGCTTAAAGGGCATCTATTTTTTCTTTGAAATTCGAAAGTTGAGATTTTTTTTCAAGAAAGTCGGTATTTTTTTGTTTATTTGCGTTCATTGCTCTGTTCCAATCTTCGATTGTCTTTGTTTATTGATTGTTTCTATCTGTCATCGAAGTGTAGCTCTGAAGCATGTTTGTGACTTTTTCACTTGCAAACTCAATTAGTTGTTTTCTCTTGTCCAGGTATGCGAGGACAGTGTAATTTTGCGGAGTGGCAACGGGGTGATTTGCGAGAGGATGTTCTACGAGAAACTCATCAATATGTCCTACTCACCCTCCACCAAGGTACTCTGTCTGTGGAAGAGACATGGGTGTGATACTCTACTCTCCAAATACTACACGAAGAAGTGCAAACAGCTCTACTATGCTATAAAGGACAGCATGGAGAGGGCAGCTACCAGGATACGCAACGAGACTCCAGGTATAGAATTATTTTAAACTCATGAGAGTTTTATATTGAGAAGATAATTGTTTGGAAGCCCTAGAGAATGTTATCCTATGCGCTTCGTGTGAGTAACAATGTTGACGTTAATGAGTTTTCACGAGACATTAGTTAGTTATGAATGTGTATTAAGAACTTGGAGGAGAGTTCTGCGTAGAAGACGTGTCGACAGGAGCTTGCGGTGTCTTGCAAGTCACCTTAGACGGAATATCGCTAGACTTCAGTGGCCAAAAGGTTAAAAACACAATTTTCATGCCCTCATGGTTATTACAACAAAAGTGAGAGTCTTACGCTAACTTGGTTTAATTGTCTTTTAGACTTTCATCGATTTGAGAGATATAAAGAAGTGTAACACCAAGAAAGGAAGATTTGTTCTTCAAGAGTATGGTAAGATGTCACTCAATTTTTAAAAAAAAAACTTTTTTATATCTACAAGCAGATCTGTTTGTTTTCATGAAGTTGTGGTCCGTCTAAGTGTTATGAACAAACTGAGTTGTTGGTTACTTAGAGCTTTTTAATTATTATGCAAAATCTAACTGAAAATACAATTCCAACCAGCAAAACAGGGATTGCAGAAAAATTCTAGGTTGGCTAGGTTTTAGAAGGTTGACTAGTGGCATTGTGGCGCTCGGGTAGTGATGGTGCCCAGCAATCACATGATTGCTGGTTCAAATCGCACGTGCGCTGCAATTTGTAAGGTGAGCTCTTGCAAGTAAGTCATAGCTTAAAAGGGCGCTGAATATATGCGCTCATGTTAACCTAAATAATTAACTTCCGAGTTAGGCCTCCTGGCTGGTTGACTAAAAAAAAAAGTATATTTAATTTGGCCGGCAAAAAACCATTGAAATAGTTAGCGAAAAATATGCTCTTTTTGCTCAAAACGTCAATCATAGTCATTCCTATTTGCAGCTTGGAATTAAGTTTATTTTCGTCTCAAAATTTGTTACTATAAACAGGATTAGTGGATCTTTTGAAAGCCTTTTGTAAGATTTTGCAGAATTTTGTAAGCTTATGGCTTACTCTATTTGCTTTTCAAAAGAATGACAGCCTTGTTGAAATCCCATTCGCGTTTCAGTTCCCGAGAGACGCGAAGTGATTGTGCGCAAATACAAGTCGGCCCAGGCCAACGAGATTTGCTACGCAGTTCTGTGTGTGTTCTCAATGGTAGCCGCAGCATCGCCCGTGTCCCCTCCTACTTCCCAAGGAAGCACAAACCGGAACAGCTGTGCGTCCCCTAGCTCCCCACCATCAGTTCGCAAGCAGTAAATATCTTCTATCACGTCTAATCTGTGAACTTACTTCAATTGATATAATGGAGGTCACATTACAAGACAATTCTTTTTGATGAAAATTGTGAAATTAATTAATAATAGTTATAATGTAGCTTTCGGCTGTTCTTTTTGCGCTTTTATGTGCTCAAAGCATTTTATTAAATTCGCTCTCGTAAATAAAAGTTCGAGTTAGCTGTAGATTAGAGTGACAGCATATTGTAGTGGCTCTATATTAAATGCCTGATTTGTAAATTTAAGCCTATGGAATACTTAAATGAATGCGATATGAATCTCGCGATAACAGCTCCGAGAGTTTTGTCGAATAAACCTGTTTTCTTTAGTTTTAATCAAAATTGTTTGTAAAAAGTGGTATTTCATTACTATTCGCTCTTGGAAAGTGCAGTGCAGATAGTGCAATTGTTTGAAGAAAATTCGGTAAATGTATCGATTGTTTTTTTTTCTTTTTTGAATATTTCTGCAACATTATGTACATTTATAAACAATCAATAGTTTGGAAGTTCAACCTTCGATTTGAGCAATTATTTTTCCCCGTAATTCAAATACAATCCAACTGCAATGTGTGAGCTTTTTGATTTGTAAATTTTGAGAATGAACTTATGAATAAATAATCTGTATCCTAAATTGTAAATTTCAATGTGATTATTAAGTGTCAATGAACGAAGTGAAGACTTGTTTTCCCAGGAAAACGTCATAAATTTTTCATCATGTTTTGTCGATTTCTTTTTTTAAATTAAGTTAGTGTGCTAAAGAAAGGCAATTGTGCTCTCTAATAACAAAACTGCTATTTGCGCAAAAAACGCTATTGACTTTTAATTTTGAGAGTCGAATTCTATTTTTGTTTAGAGTTCCCAGCGCAATAATACAGTTACTATTGAGCCAGTTTTTTCTAATTGGGTTGGCAGAAAAAAAATTGCCAATCATCAAAGTTTCTTGAATTTCAAACAGTGATTGCAAACGCTGTTTTTTTTCGAATTGTTTTACAAATTTTCAGCTCTAAATTGTTTTTTGTGTTGGATTTCTTGAGTTCATTGATACTTTCCAATTTTCTGTTGGCAGTTTCTCAGTTTTGATTGTAAAGAAGTTTATTATCTATAAATTTAATTCTATCTATTTGACCTGATGATTCTGGATTTGCATTTGTAGAGAGCATTAGTAGGAGTTGCTGCGTTAAGGTGACAGCTATCGGTCACTTCGTGTTGATAGCTATCAGTTAGTCATTGTACAAAGGCTGTACAATTATTATTTATTTACGCAAGTGGAGAGCATAGTGTGATACTACAAGGCCACGTTTTCTACATGGCCACTTTTCCCAATCTAAATAGCAAATATTAGTGCTCATTTTATTGGCGCCTGTTTCACAAAGTCGGTGGAAAGACCAGCTTCGCCCCTGTGTGCCGCAGATTCCCTCAGTCTCATTTTACCCTGACGGTCTTCGAACTGTTTAACCCTGTTTTTTTTTTTTTATTTCTCAAAAATTAAAAGTTTTAAGTAGGTCTAGTGCGTAAGCCCTTGTGTTAGTAAAAAGAAATTGTTATGGCTTCAGAAAATGTCCAAATTTAGACAGTTATTTGGAAACTTAAAAAAAAGTACCTGCCAAAATTGTGAGAACAAGAGTTCAATGGCAAGAACCGGTGTTAATGATATTCTCTGCATAAGCGGATAAACCGTATTTTTTGAAGAATGAAGTGATGGTCAAAATATTGTCTAATTTTGAAGTTTGATTGTTTATGGCAACTTGATTTTTCTCTTGTACAATTCCGCCAAGTCAGTCATAAATTAAAGGTTCCGCCGAAAGCAGTAAGCATATTACTATATATACACCAGAAAATACAACAAAGAGATTTGATTCGTGGCTGTTAAAGATTTCATTCATCGTCTCAAAAAGATCTAAAGTTAATGGTATCGGTAGCATAAATCTGAAAGCCGGAAGTTGATGTTAATTTGTTTGTTCGTCTTTGACTTATTTTTGATCTTTTCGCTCTCAAAAGGCTGTTGAATTATAGTTCATAGTACCTAACGCTGCGGTTTTGAGTTCAATAGGAAAAACAGTTTGTTGGCAGCTCACCTGCCTAAGCGACTATGTCATTTTTAAAGAACAACTATTGGTCCTCGGAAAAATCAAATAACTAATTTTTGATTGAATTTTGAATATTTTATTTTTTCTTGTAGATAACCTTTTCAAATTTGAGATTCTGAGTTCAAACTGGAGAATAGTCTGTGTGAAACTCCGCTGAATGCGCGGTTCTGCTCATTTTTTTGTACTGAAAGAATTATGGCACTCAGAAAAGCCAACTTTTCAATTTTTTGACCGATTTTGAACTTTTTTGCTGTCTTGAAAACAGTCCACCCAAAGCTGAAATTTTAGGTTCAATAAAAAATAGGTTTTATGAAGATACCCTGTATAATAGACTACGCGTAAATTCGTCGGTAACATCCAATTTTAGATTTTTTAGCCACTGTTTTTGAAAATTTTTGTCTGTCTTGAAAATTATCCTCCGAAGTCTGATAATTTAGGTTCAAGGAAAAAAACGGGTTATGGGGAGCTCCCGAACGTAGAGATACACTGAATTTTTTTAAAACAAAAATAGATTTATACTTAACCTCGTCGAAAAGTATTATTTGTGGTTTTTGACCGTGTTTTGACTTTTTTTGAAGAGTCTAAAATACTATCCTCACAAAACAGATTTTGGTTTCAATCGAAAAACTAAGTTGGTTTGTGAAGCTCGCCTGCCTAAGCGGATGATCGCAAAATTTTCAACTAAAAAAATTCTTGCCCCTGAAAAAGACAATTTTTGAACTTTTTAAATCGTGTTATAAAGCTTTTTGAGTTACTTCAAATGTAACCCTTCCAAAACGCCAATTTTGAGCTCTACCGAAAAAAAGGCTGTGTACAAAACTCCTCTACCTAAGCGCTCAAGCCAATTAATTTAAACAAAAAGAGTTGGTTCTTGGAAGTCACGTTTTTTGTTTTCTGAATGTTTTTTTTTGGAATTTTTACTGTTTTCTTAAAAACTGTTCTCCTAATTCTTAAAATTTTGATTGTTTGAATTTTTGATTGTTTGACCGTTTTTGAATTTTCTTGAACTTTCTTCAAAACGACACACAAAGCTGAGATTTTTGGATTTTATACTTTTTTTGAATTTCCCAAAAACTATTCTACCAAAACCGCGATTATGAAATCAACCAAAGAGAAAAAAAACTGGTTATTTTTGGCTCCCTTGCCCATGCGCTTACCTTTATTTTATTTATAAAAAGTATTGGAGCTCGGAAAACTCATTGTTTTTTTTCCGTATTTTGGTTTTTTTTTTGTTTTTTCTTCAAGATTGCCTTTGCACATCTGAGTTTCTGCGTTCAGTAAAAAAAGTAGGTGCTAGGAAAGTACCTTGCATGAGCTACTGCGCTCAAGTTTTTCTTCACAAAGAAATGTGGCACTCGGAAAAGTCAAAGTTTCGGTTATGTGAATACTTTTTTGAATGGTTTCATCTTTTTTCAAGTTTTATCAATTCAAATCGGAAATTTTGAGTTAAATAAAAAAAAAATTTTGTGAACCTTCTCTGCATGAGCGGCAACAATCATTTTTTTAAACGAAAACATGGCTCCCAGAAAAATCTAATTTTTGAATTTTTGACTGTTTAGGGTCAAAAAAAGGTCGTGTACTACTCCCTTGTCTGTGTGCCAAGTCAGTTTTTTTTATACAAGAAGTAATGGTCTAGGATGCTAGGATGCTGCGTGAAATTTTCCGTTGTCAGCTGCTACGCTCAAAAACTGTTTTGCAAAAGTTGTTGCGCTCGGCAAAGTCGAAAAACTACCCTTTCAAAACTGTGATTTTGAGTTCAACCGAAAGAACAGGTTATTTGCAGCTGCCTAGCCTACGTGTCTATGCCATGTTTTTTTTTCTTAAACTCTTTGCATTCGCAAAGTCAAATAATCGTTTTTTGACCGGGTTACGAATTTTCTCGAAACTACCCTCAAATCTGAGATACTTAGTTTTTTTTAAAAAAAGATAGTTCACTAGGTTGTGTGAAGCTCGCCGGATTGAACGGCTGAGCTCCAGTTTTCTACACTGAAAGTTTTGAATCTCGGAAGAAAAAATCTCAAATCTTCGACTTTTTTGAAACTTCTTTGTTTCTAGAAAACTATTCTCCCAAGTCTGAGATTTTCGGTTCAATCGAAAAAAAATAAGAGATTGTGCAAAAATCTCCTTCTTGAGCGTCTGCGTCCCAGAATTTTCTCCTTCTTGAGCGTCGTTTTTTCCTAATGACTAACCTCAAATCTGAGGTTCTGAGACCAAAAAAACCTTTGGAAGCTCCGTTGTATGAGCAACTGCGCTTAAGTTTTTCTCCAACTATAAACATCTTAAATAGTAAATTACACATCAACGATAAATATACAAACTAAGTAATACATCTCTAACATTCTTCCAAGTGTTAAGAAAACAACCCCCGTTTTTTTTTCAAAGTTTTATCCTATATATAACAAACAACGAAAGCATCTGAAACCATTAAGAGGATATGTATATGATTTTTCTATTAATCAAGTAAGTCAATATAATTTTGACAAAAACAAACAAAAACTATAAACGTCATAATACCAATTCATAAGTTTTTGACAGTAACGATTTCATTTACCAATTACGCAAAAGACACAAACGCACATGTAATATCTCTACATGTAAACAACAATTCACCACACGAAATTACACTACATTTAGGACTTATAGGATATTGCGCAACAAATGCAACATTGTATTCCACACAGGAAAAAGTATTTTGAATTAGTATTATTCTAAATTTACTAGACATTTGTCATTCAACAATTTTAAAAGAAAAACTATCTATTAATATTATTTTTAATGGCTCAAAAAGAAACACAGATTAATTTACAAAAACTCTCTACTTTAAGCCAACATTCCAAATCTCGAAATATACGACGAACAACAGAAGCTCTTAACCATGTTCAAACCCTATGGTTTATGCCACATCTAAATTTGACGTTAGAAAAATTTGTTCACTGCTGCAACTTCCCCTTAATTTTGACGCAGTTTTCAGTAAACAACGAGCAAAAAAAGACCATTTAATGACAATATAAAGCAAACCTTCATCTACCCCGTAATTTTTCTCGCTAAAGGCAAATGACTAAAACCAGCAGCTTTGTCAGCATTTATGTGAAAAACTTTGAGACCACTGATTCTTCGCAAAAATATAATTACATATTTAGACAATGTTTTCATACAGTCACAAACAAAGCAAGAAATGTTTAAGCTGTTAGAGAAATACAGCCAAATGTTATTAAAAGTAAACATGAAAGCAGCACCAGATAAATCACATTTTTTCCCTACTCGCGTAAAATTCTTTGGACACATTATTAACGCACCAGAATTACACTTCTAAAATCCCGATCAGATGCAATATTACATTTCCAACCATCGTCTAATAAAAAAAAAATCCGAAAATTTCTTGGAATGCTTAACTTCTTGAGTAAATACTTTTTTAAAATGCAACTAAAGCAAAGACCGTTTAATAACTTTCTTCGGAGAATCAAAAACGCTTCGAAGAAATAAAAATTCTCCTCACAGAACAATTCTCAAGCACAATTCTAGACCCAGATCAACCATTCTACGCTATATGCGACGCCTCGGAATCGGCGCAGCTTTTCTACAACCA